GACACTTGGAGTGGAGTCAAACTTTTTTTTTAAGCATGTCCCGAATGCAGCAAGAAGATCACAGTCCAAATTCTCACCCCTGTACCCGTCCGTGGCTCTGAGACGCTATATTGTGGGAAGGGCGCTATATAAACCCAAGTAGTTGTTGTTTTGTTGTTGCTGAGTCTTTGCAAGGAACCAGGTGTAGTTTGTAAGACACAAAAAAGTAAATTTTGTCCGTACGATGCGCAACCTCGTGCAAGAATGGTATACTTTATATTTTGGTATATAATTATTATTCAGAACTCTGCAGCTCCATTTTCTTTCCTGCACCAAGCTCCTTGCACCCATCACCCCCATCCTCGCTCGGCTTCACTGGCTCCTCATCCCCCAGAGAATAGAGCTCAAAATCCTCACCCTCGCTTTCAGAGCCCTTCATGGCCTTGCTCCTCCCTACCTCTGTGCCCTGCTGAGTCCTTACTGACCTGTCCCGTTCCCTTTGCTCAGTCGGGTTCTGGCCTGCTTCATGTCCCCTGCTCAGCCTGCTCCACCATCGGCGGTCAGGCCTTCAGCCTCTCTGGCCCAACCCTTAGGAACTTCATCCCACAATCCACTTCGCCTCTCCCGCCCGCCTTGCCTCCTTCAAGAACCTCCACTTCGACCAAACTTTTGGCCACCCTCCTACCTCTACCCGCCCTGCGTTTCAACCCTCCTGGTTCCAACCCCCAGCTCGGGTGCAAATCCTTGACCGTCCAGTGTCTTGGGACGTCCTCCCGACATGAAAGGCGCTGTACAAATGTAATTTGTTGTTGTTGGGATAATTCCACATTAGCACTGCAGGAGAGTTTGTCCCTAAAACTCACGCAACACCTGTAATTTATAAATAAATAAGTAAGTAAGTAAGTAAATAAATAAATGAAGACGTTATTAACCCTGGGATGTTCCACCCTGGAGATTCTGAAGCACTGGTTAAAGCTGTATCGACGGTGACGTTGACAGAGCGTGCACCAGGATGGGTTTGGTTTTCCCCCCTTCCTCTGAGGGCGCAAAGTGAAAGTCGTGCTGCACGATGCGCTTGTGCTGCCCCCTTGTGCCAAATCCTGGGTGACGTGCTGCCTTTTCGGATCCCAGTCGTTCAATAAGTAAAATGGAAGCGCAGATGATGTGCAGCGAGGCCCGGAACACCCGCATCATTCATTTACCAGGTCACTGAGAGCGACGCCAGGGCTGTCAGGTCCTAACGGCGTTTGGCAGTTTCTAAGTTCACGTCTCCTTTCCCTGTTTTGATGACACAATCGGACATTCTCATCCTTCAGCTGCGTTGAAATACCGGCAAAACAGCCGAGGCACAAAATAAAAAAGTATTAGTGCCACTTCAGCAAGTCTCCCCCCCCCCCCACACACACACACACATACACACACACACATACACAGAGCAGAACTGAAGGTTACAGCCAAACTCACAGCTGAGAGAAGCCCCTCAACCATCAATATTACAGCCCCTCATCATAACCACAGGGACGTTGCTGGGCGCCCAACTGGCTGCCATATTTGCCTATAAATACAGTCACTTTACAGTAAATCCTGACATGAAAGGTCACTGTTGCTCGCTGGTGTCACTGATACTCGCTATCATCACTGTTACTCACTGGTGTCAGTTACTCGCTGGTGTCACTATTACTCGCTAGTATCACTATTACTCGCTAGTGTCACTGATACTCGCTAGTGTCACTGTTACTCGCTGGTGTCACTGTTACTCGCTGGTGTCACAGTTACTCGTTAGGGTCACAGTTAGTCGCTGGGGTCACAGTTACTCGCTGGGGTCACAATTACTCGCTGGGGTCACAGTTACTCGTTGGGGTCACAGTTAGTCGCTGGGGTCACAGTTACTCGCTGGGGTCACAGTTACTCGCTGGGGTCACAGTTATCGCTGGGGTCACTGTTGCTCGCTGGCGTCACTGATACTCGCTGGTGTCACTGTTACTTGCTAGTATCACATTTACTCGCGGTTGTCACTGATACTCACTGGTGTCACTGTTACTCGCTAGTGTCACTGTTACTCGTTGGTGTCACTGTTACTCGCTGGTGTCACTGTTACTCGCTGGGGTCAGTGTTACTCACTGGTATCACTGTTACTCGCTGGGGTCAGTGTTATTCACTGGTATTACTGTTACTCGCTGGGGGTCAGTGTTACTCACTGGGGTCAGTGTTACTCACTGGTATCACTGTTACTCGCTGGGGTCAGTGTTACTCACTGGAGTCACTGTTACTCGCTGGTGTCACTGTTACTCGCTGGTGTCACTGTTACTCGCTAGTGTCACTGTTACTCGCTAGTGTCACTGTTACTCGCTGCGGTCACTGTTACTCGCTGGGGTCAGTGTTACTCGCTGGGGTCAGTGTTACTCGCTGGGGTCAGTGTTACTCGCTGGGGTCAGTGTTACTTGCTGGGGTCAGTGTTACTCACTGGAGTCACTGTTACTCGCTGGTGTCACTGTTGCTCACTGGGGTCACTGATACTCACTGGTGTCACTGTTACTTGCTGGGGTTAGTGTTACTCGCTGCGGTCACTGTTACTCGCTGGGGTCACTGTTACTCGCTGGGGTCACTGTTACTCTCTGGGGTCACTGTTACTCGCTGGTGTCACTGTTACTCGCTGGTGTCACTGTTACTCGCTAGTGTCACTGTTACTCGCTAGTGTCACTGTTACTCGCTGCGGTCACTGTTACTCGCTGGGGTCAGTGTTACTTGCTGGGGTCAGTGTTACTCGCTGGGGGGTCAGTGTTACTCGCTGGGGGTCAGTGTTACTCACTGGTATGACTGTTACTCGCCGGGGTCAGTGTTACTCACTGGTATGACTGTTACTCGCTGGGGTCAGTGTTACTCGCCGGGGTCAGTGTTACTCGCTGGGGGTCAGTGTTACTCGCTGGGATCAGTGTTACTCGCTGGTATCACTGTTACTCGCTGGGGTCAGTGTTACTTGCTGGGGTCAGTGTTACTCGCTGGGGGGTCAGTGTTACTCGCTGGGGTCAGTGTTACTCACTGGTAAGACTGTTACTCACCGGGGTCAGTGTTACTCACTGGGGGTCAATGTTACTCGCTGGGGTCAGTGTTACTCGCTGGTATCACTGTTACTCGCTGGGGTCAGTGCTACTCGCTGGGGGTCAGTGTTACTCACTGGTATGTTACTCGCCGGGGTCAGTGTTACTCGCTGGTATCACTGTTACTCGCCGGGGTCAGTGTTACTCGCCGGGGTCAGTGTTACTCACTGGGGTCAGTGTTACTCACTGGTATGACTGTTACTCGCTGGGGTCAGTGTTACTCACTGGTATGACTGTTACTTGCCGGGGTCAGTGTTACTCGCTGGGGGTCAGTGTTACTCACTGGGGTCAGTGTTACTCACTGGTATCACTGTTACTCGCTGGGGTCAGTGTTACTCACTGGGGTCAGTGTTACTCACTGGTATGACTGTTACTCGCCGGGGTCAGTGTTACTCGCTGGGGGTCAGTGTTACTCACTGGTATGACTGTTACTCGCCGGGGGTCACTGTTACTCACTGGTATGACTGTTACTCGCTGGGGGTCAGTGTTACTCACTGGGGTCAGTGTTATTCACTGGTATTACTGTTACTCGCTGGGGGTCAGTGTTACTCACTGGGGTCAGTGTTACTCACTGGTATCACTGTTACTCGCTGGGGTCAGTGTTACTCACTGGAGTCACTGTTACTCGCTGGTGTCACTGTTACTCGCTGGTGTCACTGTTACTCGCTAGTGTCACTGTTACTCGCTAGTGTCACTGTTACTCGCTGGGGTCAGTGTTACTCACTGGGGTCAGTGTTACTCACTGGTATGACTGTTACTCGCCGGGGTCAGTGTTACTCGCTGGGGGTCAGTGTTACTCACTGGTATGACTGTTACTCGCCGGGGGTCACTGTTACTCACTGGTATGACTGTTACTCGCTGGGGGTCAGTGTTACTCGCTGGGGTCAGTGTTACTCACTGGGGTCAGTGTTACTCACTGGTATGACTGTTACTCGTCGGGGTCAGTGTTACTCGCTGGGGTCAGTGTTACTCACTGGGGTCAGTGTTACTCACTGGTATGACTGTTACTCGTCGGGGTCAGTGTTACTCGCTGGGGGTCAGTGTTGCTCACTGGTATCACTGTTACTCGCTGGGGTCAGTGTTACTCGCTGGGGGTCAGTGTTACTCGCTGGGGGTCAGTGTTGCTCACTGGTATCACTGTTACTCGCTGGGGGTCAGTGTTACTCACTGGGGGTCAGTGTTACTCACTGGTATGACTGTTACTCGCTGGGGGTCAGTGTTACTCACTGGTATCACTGTTACTCGCTGGGGTCAGTGTTACTCGCTGGGGGTCAGTGTTACTCACTGGGGTCAGTGTTACTCACTGGTATGACTGTTACTCGCCGGGGTCAGTGTTACTCGCTGGGGTCAGTGTTACTCACTGGTATGACTGTTACTCGCTGGGGGTCAGTGTTACTCACTGGGGTCAGTGTTACTCGCTGGGGGTCAGTGTTACTCACTGGTATGACTGTTACTCGCTGGGGTCAGTGTTACTCGCTGGGGGTCAGTGTTACTCACTGGTATGACTGTTACTCGCTGGGGGTCAGTGTTACTCGCCGGGGTCAGTGTTACTCACTGGGGGTCAGTGTTACTCACTGGTATGACTGTTACTCGCTGGGGGTCAGTGTTACTCGCTGGGGGTCAGTGTTACTCACTGGTATGACTGTTACTCGCTGGGGGTCAGTGTTACTCGCTGGGGTCAGTGTTACTCGCTGGGGTCAGTGTTACTCACTGGTATGACTGTTAGCCGCTGGGGTCAGTGTTACTCACTGGGGGTCAGTGTTACTCACTGGGGGTCAGTGTTACTCACTGGGGTCAGTGTTACTCGCTGGGGGTCAGTGTTACTCACTGGTATGACTGTTACCCGCGGGGTCAGTGTTACTCACTGGTATGACTGTTACTCGCGGGGGTCAGTGTTACTCGCTGGGGGTCAGTGTTACTCACTGGTATGACTGTTACCCGCGGGGGTGACCGTTGCCGTTGCCGCGCGCGGTGGGTTTGAAGCTGCTCCCGGTCTCGCGGCTCCTGTCGACGAGGCGAGTTGCGGGTGGAGAGAGCGGCCGCTCAGGTGCGGCTCGGGACCCACAGCGCCCACCCCGGGAGCTGCGGCCGCCAGGCGTCAGTGCAGCCACGGGCCACTCCGCCCAGAGAGCAAGGTCTGGGGGGGGGGGGGGGGGGGGGGGGGGGGAGGGGGCTGGACTCAGGCAGGTGGTCCTGGGGGCCATGTGATGGCACTGTGCCCCTCGTGTCTCTGCCCAGAGCTGGTGGTGAGAAAGGGCAATGGCAGGTCTGGTGGGGAGCAGGTGGGGCCGTCCATCCCCGGTGAGACGTTAAAGCCGAGGTCCGTAGCGCTGGCGAGTAACGGTAACAACGGAGAGTAACAGTAACGACGGCGAGTAACGGTAACGACGGCGAGTAACGGTAACAACGGAGAGTAACAGTAACGACAGTGAGTAACAGTAACGACGGCGAGTAACGGTAACCCCAGCGAGTAACGGTAACAACGGAGAGTAACAGTAACGACGGCGAGTAACGGTAACGACGGAGAGTAACAGTAACGCTGGCGAGTAACGGTAACGACGGAGAGTAACAGTAACGCTGACGAGTAACGGTAACGACGGAGAGTAACGGTAACAACGGAGAGTAACAGTAACGCTGGCGAGTAACGGTAACGACGGAGAGTAACAGTAACGCTGGCGAGTAACGGTAACGACGGAGAGTAACAGTAACGACGGCGAGTAACGGTAACAACGGAGAGTAACAGTAACGCTGGCGAGTAACAGTAACGACGGCGAGTAACAGTAACGACGGCGAGTAACAGTAACGACGGCGAGTAACAGTAACGACGGCGAGTAACAGTAACGTTGGCGAGTAACGGTAACGACGGCGAGTAAACATTAATGACGGCGAGTAACAGTAACGCTGGCGAGTAACAGTAACGACGGCGAGTAACCGTAACAATAACGAGTAAGGGTAACAGTAGCGAGAAACACTAACAACAGCGAGTAACAGTAACAGTGGTGAGTAACAGTAACAGTAGCGAGTGACAGTAACAACGGTGAGTTTCTCGCCCTGTGTCCTGGCCAACAATCCTCTAAATAAGACTGCGCGTCCCCTTCGTGGGCCGTTTGTGGTGTGGGAATTTACTGGCGTGTGCGCCTCCGAAATACACAGCCGCTCGCTCCGCTTCACAGTGTATCGCGTGGAGCGCTTCGAGACGTCCTCCCGGCGGGAGAGGCGCGACGTCGGAAGCCAGAAAAAAGCAGACACCGAAGCGGAGATATCGCGTCGTTTCAATCAGTAGGGAGTTCCGCCTTTGCGCCACTCACACACCACCTCGGAGCGCGTCCGAGCAGCGCGAGAGAGAGGGGTTGTACAATGAAGGAATGTCGCTCGTTTCGGAGTTAATGGCCGTGCGCCTAAAACCCCCGTCGTTTTCCAAACCACCCGCAGCCCTTTGCTGGAGCTGGAGCTCTGGCTTCCGTTCAGAGCGACCAGAGGCTGATCTGACCAGCGAGGAAGACCAACAAATTACGTTCACACGGCGAATACAGTCGCCGGACCCCGAGCGAGCGAGACGAGGGGAAAGGGGAGGGGGAGAGAAGTAGATGGTCAAAGCCGCTTTGGAAGAGGTCGTTTTTTGAGGTGGGATTAAACCGGACGGACTCTGTTCTTCTTTCGCCTTGCACGTTCCTATGCCCTGAAGCGAGGGGGCTCAAGAGGTTAGGGGAGTAGAAACCGAAGGTCGCGGAGTCCTGTGGCTCAGGGGTTAGAGCGCTCGCTTTGCAAGTGAGAGACCTGAGATCAATTCCAGTCAGAGGGCGAAACCTCGGGCAAGTTTCCTTACTCCACACAGAGCCTAATAATAATCCCTCCAAAAAACCCAAAACAATAATAAATTGGTCATTCTCAATCTACGACTGTTTGTGGGACATTGCTGTGCGCAATCGGCCGCCGCGTTCGCCACAAATATACAGTCAATTCACTTTACAGTGTGTTCTGTGAAGCGCTTTGGGACGTCCTCCCGACATGAAAAGCGCTATATCAAATGCAAGGATTATTATTATTATTATTATTATTATTATAAAGCCCACCTGAAATCCCATTCGCAGGCAATCTGTGCATTCAGTCAGCGGAGGAGAGATTTAATATCTGCCTCCGTCCACCTGTTTCCGGTGAGGCTTTAATAACCAATCTGTGCGACCAGACTTTTTTTTAAAAAAAAATCCCTCACAGCTGAAATCAACCGTGATGGTCTTTTGCTGCAGTGCATATCAAGCCCTTTGAGACGAGAGCATTTAATGATTATTATACGGAGCAAAGCGCTCTGTATAATAACAACTACAATAATAATAATAATAATAATCTTTCCATTCGATATAGCGCCTTGTCACATCTTCGGAGACCCTGTCTCGCAGAATATACACCGTAAAGTGAGTGGACGGCATATTTTGTGGGCGAACCGGCATTTATGTACAACTAATCTTTGCGTTATCGCTGTGTAACTCGGCGTAGCTCCGCGTTTGTTATCGCGCTTTTATGATCCAGGTCAATGGAACTATTTGGAAGCGCTTCGCCGGGTTCGCTGTGAAGGGCAGTGACTGCGCGTTTTGCAGGTGGCATTCTCCTCACCCCCACCCCCCCCCCCCCCCGCCCCCCGGCAGCGTTCCCACGAGGAGCCGCAAAGGGTAGAGGTTGTCGGCCAGGGCTCCGTGACCCAGCGCCACGTTTTCCGAGTACGCGAAGCAGATCCGAGAGCCTCACCCTCTTGTGTTTGCCACGGACGGATGCGACGACATTTCCCTGCGCCTGGAGCGGAGCGCGCGCTCGCTGGAGGTGAGGGGGAACGCGCGGCAACTGGAAGCAATAATAATAATAATAATAATAATAACAACCCTTGCATTCGATATTATAATGATAGTAATGATCCCGAGATTTGACACCGCGCCATCGAGACGTCTCAAAGCGCCTCACGGGATACACAGTCACGCGAAATCGACCGCGCCCGGCAGTTTGCCCCCAAATTTGGGGGACAAAACCCGGACAGGTGTGGCTTGAAGTGACCGAATTATTACTACCGTTATTATTATTTCTCTTGAATATAACTTGGCTTCTCTCGAGAGGGAAGTGGGTTGTCGATGGTGGTGAGAGAGAGAGAGAGAGAGAGAGAGACGGACACACGTTACACTCAATCCATCTCTCGCCATTCCCCCCTCCCCCACATTTCCCCCCTCCCACCCCCGCATTTCCCCCACTCTCGCGCCATTTACCCCCACACCCCCCTCCCACCATTCCCGTACCCCCCAAAGACCCATCCTTCCTTCCCCTCTCAGACCCCCATTTCCCACCCCCCATTGCCCCCACTCTCCCTACCCCCCACATTTACCCCCCCTCCCACCCCACATTTCCCCCTTCTCTCCCCCCTCCCACCCCTCATTTCCCCCTTCTCTCCCCCCTCCCACCCCTCATTTCCCCCTTCTCTCCCCCCTCCCACCCCTCATTTCCCCTTCTCTCCCCCCTCCCACCCCCACATTTCCCTTCTCTCCCCCCTCCCCCCCCACATTTCCCCTTCTCTCCCCCCTCCCACATTTCCCCCTTCTCTCCCCCTCCCACCCCCACATTTCCCCCTTCTCTCCCCCCTCCCACCCCACATTTCCCCCTTCTCTCCCCCCTCCCACCCCCACATTTCCTTCTCTCCCCCCCATTTCCCCCTTCTCTCCCCCCCCATTTCCCCCTTCTCCCCCTTCTCTCCCCCCATTTCCCCCTTCTCCCCCCCCACATTTCCCCTTCTCTCCCCCCATTGCCCCCTTCTCTCCCCCCATTTCCCCCTTCTCTCCCCCCCATTTCCCCCTTCTCCCCCCCGATTTCCCCTTCTCCCCCCAATTCCCCCTTCTCTCCCCCCCATTTCCCCCTTCTCCCCCCCCATTTCCCCTTCTCTCGCCCCCATTTCCCCCTTCCCTCCCCCCCATTTCCCCCTTCTCTCCCCCCATTTCCCCCCCTTCTCCCCCCCCCCCCCCCCCCCCCGGGGGGACAGGACGGGGCAAATCCCGAGCAACGTGTTACGCTGTTTGACGCTGCGTTGGTTTGGTGCGTGTTTTTGGGCACAGACAGAGAGAGGGGAAGGGGGGAAGGAGGGAAAGAAGAGAGAGAGAGAAGGGGAAGGGGGGAAAGAAGAGAGAGAGAGAAGGGGAAGGCGGGAAAGAAGAGAGAGAGAGAGAAGGGGAAGGGGGGAAAGAAGAGAGAGAGAGAAGGGGAAGGAGGGAAAGAAGAGAGAGAGAGAGAGGGGGAAGGGGGGAAAGAAGAGAGAGAAGGGGAAGGGGAGACAAGTAGAAGGAGAGAGAAAGAGAGGGCGAAGGAAGGAAGGAAAGAAGGAAGAGAGAGCGAGAGGGGGAAGGGGAGAAGAAGAGAAAGAGGGGAAGGAAGAGAGAGAGAGAGAGAGAAGGAAGAGAGAGGGAAAGAGAGGAGAAGGAGAGAGAGAGAGAGAGAGAGGGGGGGGAGGAAGGAGAGAAAGAAGAGAGAGAGAGGGAAAGAGAGAGGGAAAGAGAGAAGGAAGAGAGAGAAAGAGAGGAGAGAGAGAGAGAGGGAAAGAGAGAGAAAGAGAGGAGAAGGAGAGAGAGAGAGAGGGAAAGAGAGAAGGAAGAGAGAGAGAGAGGGAAAGAGAGAAGGAAGAGAGAGAGAGAGAGAGGAGATGTGGGGAGTGGCGGTATGAGGGGGTACCGCAGGTTCGCCGCCGCCGCCGTGTGTTTGGCGGTGGGTTTCATCCTCTATCTGACGGTGGGACCCACCGACCCCCTCCCAACCCCCCTCCCCCCCCACACACACCCCCACACACACCCCCACACACAGACCCACACACAGACCCACACACACCGACAGCGACCGCAGCAGCGCAGAAAGTCGGCGGCAACAGCGAGAGAACGGCGGCTCAGAGCGAGGTACAGCCCCACCGCCCCACCCCGGGACACTCTGTCTGTCTGTGTCTGTGTCTCACTCTGTGTCTGTCTCACTCTCTGTGTCTCACTCTCTGTCTGTGTCTCACTCTGTGTCTCTGTGTCTCTGTCTCACTCTCTGTGTCTCTGTCTCACTCTGTGTCTCTCTCTCTGTCTCACTCTCTGTGTCTCTGTCTCACTCTCTCTGTGTCTCTGTCTCACTCTGTGTCTGTGTCTCTGTCTCACTCTCTGTGTCTCTGTCTCACTCTGTGTCTCTCTCTCTGTCTCACTCTCTGTGTCTCTGTCTCACTCTCTCTGTGTCTCTGTCTCACTCTCTCTGTGTCTCACTCTCTCTGTGTCTCACTCTCTGTCTGTGTCTCACTCTGTGTCTGTGTCTCACTCTCTGTCTGTGTCTCACTCTCTGTCTGTGTCTCACTCTGTGTCTCTGTCTCACTCTCTGTGTCTCTGTCTCACTCTCTGTGTTTCTGTCTCACTCTCTGTGTCTCTGTCTCTCACTCTCTGTGACTCTGTCTCACTCTCTGTGTCTCTGTCTCACTCTCTCTGTGTCTCTGTCTCACTCTCTCTGTGTCTCTGTCTCTGTCTCACTCTCTGTGTCTCTGTCTCACTCTCTGTGTCTCTGTCTCACTCTCTCTGTGTCTCTGTCTCACTCTCTCTGTGTCTCTGTCTCACTCTCTGTGTCTCTGTCTCACTCTCTCTGTGTCTCTGTCTCTGTCTCTGTCTCACTCTCTGTGTCTCTGTCTCTCTGTCTCTGTTTCACTCTCTGTGTCTCTGTCTCTCTGTCTCACTCTCTGTGTCTCTGTCTCACTCTCTGTGTCTCTGTCTCTCTCTGTGTCTCTGTCTCTGTCTCACTCTGTGTCTCTGTCTCACTCTGTGTCTGTCTCACTCTCTGTCTCTCACTCTCTCTCTCTCTCTCTCTGTGTGTCTCTGTCTCACTCTTTGTGTCTCTGTCTCACTCTCTCTGTGTCTCTGTCTCTCTCTGTGTGTCTCTGTCTCACTCTCTCTCTGTCTGTCTGTTTTTTCTCTTGTTTGTTTCTCGGTGTTGGTCTCTCCTTCTCTTTCTCTCTCTGTGTCTCAGTTTGTCTCTCTGCCTCTGTCTGTGTGTGTCTGTGTGTGTCTCTGTATCTGTGTGTGTGTGTCTGTCTGTCTGTGTGTGTCTGTGTCTGTCTGTGTGTGTGTCTCTGTGTCTGTGTGTGTCTGTGTCTGTGTGTGTGTCTGTGTGTGTGTCTGTGTCTCTGTGTCTGTGTGTGTGTCTGTGTGTATGTGTGTCTGTCTGTGTCTCTGTGTCTGTCTGTGTGTGTCTGTGTCCGTCTGTGTGTGTCTGTCTGTGTCTCTGTGTCTGTCTGTGTGTGTGTGTCTGTGTGTCTGTCTGTGTCTCTGTCTGTCTGTGTGTGTGTGTGTCTGTGTCTCTGTGTCTGTCTGTCTGTCTGTGTGTGTGTCTGTGTGTCTCTCTCTCTGTACAGCAGTGTAATGTCCAGGTTTCTCCCCCACCCCCTCCCCTTTCCTGGGAGAGCAGTCGCCTTTTTTTGATTAATATATCATTTTCAGATGCTTCCTTCCTTCCAAGCAATTCACACACACACACACATATATATATATATACACACACACATAGAGAGAGAGAGAGATTTAAATTAAAAGAGCATTTAAAAATGTTGGTTTAGCGCATCAGGATTGCCTGCTCTCTGGAGGGCGGTTTCCCCAAACTTTGCAGAGGATGGGATCGTGTTTCAGCGACTTGAGTGTCAAGAGGTTTAAGTTTCGCGTGACTTTCTTTTGTTGGCGGCCAGAGAGAAAGAAACTTGAGGCGTTTTGCGGACGTAACGAGCGGCAGACGTCGCTGGTCCCTCTCTCCTGTACGATTCACTCTCTCTTTTCATCGCTCGCTCTACTTCAACGCCCGCGGTTCGGGGACATCCCCCGTCGTTGCGTTAAAGTCATTTGGTCGCTCAATCCACCACTGTTTGCGTCGGGAACGCTGCTGCGCTGTGGGCGTTTCACCCACAAAATGTGCAATCGATTCGCTTTGTGGTACGCTCCGCGAAGCGCTTTGAGACATCTCAACGACGTGATCAGGCGCTATATCAAATGCAAGGATTATTATTCTTACTTAAATTGTGTGGTTTTTTTTTTGTGGGGGGTGGGGGGGGGGCAGTGCGGCGCAATTTCATCCGGTTTCAGTTTCTGAAAGCCTGTTGATGTCTCCTGGTGGCATCTAACGACGAGAAAAAAAAACCACCAAATGCTTTCTCTCCGTTGCTCCCCAACAGCTTAAATAATGAGACGTTTAAAGTTCTGCTCTCTCTCCCTGTTTTCCTTCCATTCCATTCCGCTCCCCCACGAGAGATTTACCAAATTATTACCCTCCCAGAAATGGGGCACGGGGGCAATTTTAAATCATCTCGGTGTGTTTTCTCAGTCGGAAAGATTTATTATACTAAAAATCAGTAATAATTTCCGGCATTTATTGAAGTGACGTTCGTGCGGGGAGAGTTTCGAAGCGCTTCGCAGAATACGCTGTAAAGTGGAGTGACTGTGTGTTTTTGCAGGCGAGTGCGGGGCAGCGACGTGCCACAAACGGCTTCAGACTGAATGCCTGATCTTTTACACGTGTTGCGGCGTGGGATTAATAAAATAAGGTTAACGAAACAGTAATAATCCTCGTATTTGATAGAGCGCCTTATCACATCCTCAAGCCGTCGCAAAGCGCCTCCTCACAGGGTATGTATACCCTAAAGGGGGTATTTTGTGGGCGAAACTCGGCAGCCAATTTGAGCCGAGGAGTGAGTGACCGATGCATTGATGAGGAACAAATGGATAAAACATGCTGACGGCTTATATGACAGGTCCGGTGCTGGATATCTGTTGATCAATATTCTGTGGTGTTACCCTTCTCCCTCTCTTTCCTCACCCCCCCCCTGTTCCAGGAATCCTGACATGCCAGTCTTTCGCCTCCACACCTGGCAAGGAGAGGAACGCATACACCTGGCGGTTGTGGCCTGTGGTGATCGGCTCGAGGAGACGATGACGATGTTGAAATCGGCCGTCCTCTTCAGCGCGGGCAAATTGACGTTCCACATTTTCGCTGAAGATTCCCTGCAGCCTCAGTTCGAACACGGAGTGAGTGGCTCAAACCCGGGCGGGGAGCGTGGAGGGGGCTGGGGCGGGTTTCCATTCGACATAGCGCCTAGTCAACCCATCTCGAAGCACGTCATTCGCAGCATTTTTACTGTGGCTCCCAGCGGTGTCCACAAACAGCCCCGGAGTGAGTGACGGACTTTATCTTGAGGGTTTGTGGGCCAGGACACGGGGTGGGAGGGTGGCGGGGTGGGGGGGGGGGGGGGGTGGCGGGGGGAAACGCCCTTCCCTTTTCGATTCATTCCATGGGATTTTTAACGTCCGCTGGAAAAGGCAGACGAGACCTCGGTTTAACGTCTCATCCGAAGGACGGCACCTCCGGCATTGCAGGGCTCGCACAGGGGGCTGAGCTCGACTATGAGCTCAAAAGGTCTGACATGAGGACTTTATTACGGACCAGCTTCACGCTCAACAGCGACATATGCTGATGGCATGGTGGTGCTTTTGAGTAAACAGCAGCAGTCAGTATTTGCGTCGTGTGCCAAACTCAAACCGAGTGTGGAGAATACTGCCATAAACAAGGCTGCATAAGTGGGTTTCTGAAGAGCGTGGAAAACGAGGGAGCGACAGAAACTCCGGCGGGGCATCTCCAGAACGAATCGGAAACCGAAATTACTGACGTTTTTACAATCATCTTGAGGTGGAAATAGATTCTCCATTTAATGCTGCCTCTGCTTTTCTCTCTGCACAGTTTATGATCTTCTTCCGTAAAGTTTATGTCTGCGCGAAGCGCACAGTAATAATAATAATAATAATAACAATCCTTGCATTTGGTACAGCGTCTTATCACCGCGTTGAGACGTCTCAAAGGGCTTCACAAAATACACTGTAAAGTGGAGTGTGTGAGTTTTGTGGGCGAAACGTGGCAGACAATTGAGCAAACAGTCGTGGATTGCGTGACTTTTTTTTGAGGGTTTATTACCCCCAGAAAGTGATCCGCTGATCGTCTAACGAGAGTAGAAACATAGCAGTTTGCACTTGGCGATAGGGTTGTTTTCCAAATAGCATGTTCACGTGATCTTTTTGGAAAGCTCACTGTTGGCATCCAGATGGAAATAAATCCACTTTCATGCAATTCCAAGAACATAGTTTAGGGATTAGACCATAATGGAGTCTGGTAGCGTATTGGTTGGAGCACTCGCCTCGCAAGTGAGATCACCCGCGGTTCGATTTGCAGGCAGGCAGGGCGAAACCTTAGGCAAGTTTCCTTAATCCACATGCCTGTTTACCTAGTAACTAGAAACAGAGTTGTTGGTCGATTGGCAGATTGCTTTCCGGGGGTGGCAATCCCTTTTTTATAAAAAAAATCGTAGCTCAATCCACGACTGTTCATGCGCAATTGGCTGCATCGTTTCGCCCAAGAAATGACTTCAGAGTATATCCCTTGAAGAACTCTGAAACACCTCAATGACGTGTTAAGTTGCTGCACCAAATGCAAGGATTAATATTATCTTTCAGTCCATTGAGCAACTTCTACCGCTTCCTTCTTCACGCCAGCTCTCTCCTTTTTTTTGGTCCCGAGTCTCTTAGTCTTCCCAAACGACTAAAGCATCTCCCCCCTAACGCCCTCAATTGATGGTGGAAGTGTGGTCTTCCTCGGGCGACACTTTCCACCATCTCACGAGGCTTTGTCTGCGTTTGTTCTCAAATGACTGGTGGCAATGTACCTTCTGGTCAGTCGGCCACTGTAGTAGCGGATGTCGAGGACGTGATAAAGCCCCCCCAGGCGTGGGAGGCGGTGGGAGGTGGGGGGTTCAAGCCCCAATTTTTGCCTCCGATCGCCACCTGGTGGCTTTGACTAGAAAATGCACGTCTGGTCATGTTGTTACACATCTCCGCATTCGTTACCTGTCTGATCCGATACAAACGAGACTGTGTGCGTGTGCGTGTGGGGGGGGGACGGGTGGGTGGTGTGTGTATGGGGGGTGGGGGTGTGTGTTTGCGGGGTGTGTGTGGGTGTGTGTGGGGGGGGGGATGTGAGGGAGGGGTGGTGAGGGGGGTGCGAAGGGAATGCGAAAGAGAGTAAATTAGATTTAAAGTATAACAATTTATGAGAATATTTTTCTCTCTGTCATTCTGAATGCTGCTCCCAGTCTGAACTTCACTTTATAATTAACTTGGCTCTGAAATAACTGTAACCGCTCGTTGCCCAACTCCCCCCACCCCCTCCGAGTTTTGGGGGAAAATTGCTGACAGTGCTGACTGTGCAGGAGAGAATTTGTGTGCTTGTCACACCGATAGCTAACAATAGTCTCGCACAGAGCTCATTCGTTTCCGCACCAGTAGTGAGATCTCTAATTGTTTTTTCCAGCCTAAAGTATCACATTTTCCATTCTGAGATAACAATCCTTTGATGAATGTGTGACATTCAACCGGTGCTTGTTAATGAAAGACGCATCTTCAGTTAACCTTCCGATTAACCAGAGACCTTCCGCTTGTCTATTCATGACTCTTCAGACTGGGGATTGTTTTGTTACAGTGCATCATGTCCACATTTAATCGTTTAACACACTGGGAGCGTAGCGTAGGGCAAGTCAATGCCTAAACAACAGGATTTGAGCACAAGCAATTAGCAGTACAGGTGGTGCTGTGGCAAACGCAGGTGTACCGATCCCATACACCTCACCGGTGGTGGGTGGGAGGTGAGGGGGGGGGGGGGTGGGGAAGAATGGGGAGAAATTCCACCTGGGTACAGATTTATTCTCGCATTTCAGAGCGTTCGAAATTTGTCAAATACTCAAATGCAGTCATCGGGTTTGAAGTCCGTATTCTTGTCAGTTTCTTTTAAGATCCGCAGAGAAGCGGCCTCAAAGTTGAGACTGAATTCAACCATAACCATCCTTTCATTTGATATAGCCTCTTCCGTTGACTTCGGTTGAGATCTTAAACCGAGCTCACGCCTGGCTGTTCAGGTGGACGTTAAAGATCCCGCAGCGCTACTCGGAGCGCTTTGCTATATATACTGTACGGTGGTTTGGACTGTGTATTTTGTGGGTGAAACTCGGCAGCCAATTTGTGCACAGAGTGTCCCACAAACAGCCATTGAGCGAGCGACCAATTTTATTTGGGGGATTGTTGGCCGGGACAGCAGGAGAGAGGAAAACTCCCTTCTCTTTTCGAGTAGCGCCGCGGGATCTTTAACGTCCACCTGAACAGCCAGGCGTGAGCTCGGTTTAAGATCTCAACCGAAAGGCAACGGAAAGCGCTACCACTGAGCCAAGTTGACTCGCAGGTGCGCTAAATGACTCATTAATGAGTGCGTCTAGACCCTTGTGTAATTTTTCCTCACCTTCTGGGCACCTCTTAAGAGTTCAACACCTCCGAAGATCTACAAATGTTTCGGCGCCTCTGAATCCTGCGCGAAGGGTGTGATATAAATGTAAACTGTCGCCGTTATTTGTTTTCCAGAAATCTCTCATTGGAAGCTGGACCCTTTTTATTTTTATTTCGTAATCCCTTTTTTTATTCCTTTTGCAGATCAAAGCCTGGCCGTTTTCACACCGCTCCAAGGTGGAATACAGAATCTACCCCATCACCTTCTCAGTGGGCAATCCACAGGAGTGGAAAAAACTGTTCAAGCCCTGTGCTGCTCAACGTCTCTTCCTTCCGGTACGTTCCCTTTAACGTCGCCTTTGTCTCGTTGAACGAACGCGCTTGGGAGGGGGCGGTGGCGAGGGGTGGTGGGGGGGTGGGGGGGAACTTGCCGTTCGACATTTCACTGGCGAAATCTAAATCAGAATTAAAATAACAATAATAACCCTTGCAATTGATATAGCGCTTTATCATGTCTTTGAGACCTCTCAAAAGCGCTTCACAGAAATTACTGTAAAGTGGAGTGACTGTACATTTTGTGGGTGAAACTTCCCAATTCAACGGAAAGTTGAACCTAGGAATACGTTAACCCTTTGGGGGGGGGGGTCAACATGATGCCTGAGTTCAATTCCAGGCAGAGGGCGAAACCTCGGGCAAGTTTCCTTACTCCACACAGAGCCTAATAATAATCCCTCCAAAACCAAACACAATAATAAATTGGTCATTTTCAATCTACGACTGTTTGTGGGACATTGCTGTGCGCAATTGGCTGCCGCGTTCGCCCACAAATATACAGTCAATTCACTATACAGTATATTCTGTGAAGCGCTTTGGGACGGCTAAAAGAAATGAAAAGCGCTATATCAAATGCAAGGATTATTATTATTACTATTATATCCCCCAAACCCCACTGCTCTCTTTTGAACGCAAGTGCTGGTCTGATGGTTTCGTTTGTTGGGCTTCGAGCTTTAACTGCGATTGCTGGGAGGATATTTCACTCTGCTACCATCTGTGGGGCTCCTAAGTGAGGTCTGAAGGATTGGTTTGGATTCAGAGCGATGTCCTCCACTCCAGCAAACGACACCAACCGAAAATGATGGCATAATGAATAAAAATTTAAAAAAAAAATTGGTCACTTCAATCCACGACTGTTGGCGAGACGCTGCTGTGCGCAATTGGCTGCCGCTGTTTTGCCCACAAAGTATACAGTCAATTTGTTTTACAGTCTGTTCTGTGAAGCGCTTTGAAACGTCTCAGAGATCACCCCAGTCCTGGCCAGACTGCACTGGCTGCCTGTCCCAGAGAGGATCGACTTCAAGATCCTCACCCTTGTATTCAAATCCCTCCACTCCTCCGCACCCCCCGACCTCTCTGACCTCTTCTCTCCTCAAAATAGCACCGTTGCCTTCATTCCTCCGGGTCTGGCCTCTTCCTCGTCCTCTGAGTCCTCCGCTCCACCCTCGGCGGCCGTGCCTTCAGCCGCTATGCCCCGAGCGCCTGGAATTCCCTTCCTCACTCCCTTCGCCTCGCTCCATCTCTTCCTATTTTCAGGTCTCTGCTGACTACCTTTCTCTTTGACCGCGCCTTTGGTCACCTTCCCCACCCCTCGCCCCGGCTCGGCCCCGGGATCCGTTACTGTGAAGCGCTCTGAGCCGCCGTCCGGCGTGGAGGGCGCTATATAAATCCAAGTTGTCGTTGTTGTCTCGAAGACACGATAAGGCGCTGTGTCAAATGCAAGGAGTGCTATTATTATAATAAACTTTGCGATGATTTGCGCTTAATATTTGTTGCACGATTCGGATGAAATGTGATTACTAAAGGAAAAAAAAATACATGTTTTCGGTTCAGATGATCCTGAAAGATGTGGATTCGCTCCTGTACGTAGACACGGACGTGCTCTTTCTCAGACCGGTAGACGATGTCTGGAACCTCCTGAAGTTGTTCAACTCCACGCAGCTTGCAGCCATGGCCCCAGAGCACGAAATTCCCAAAATCGGCTGGTACAGTCGCTTCGCGAGGCATCCCTTCTACGGAGCAGCTGGAGTCAACTCGGGAGTCATGCTGATGAATTTGACTCGGATCAGGAACAAAGTGTTCAAGGTTTTTTTTTAAAAAAAAAAATTCCTCAATACGTTCCCAAATTAAATTTGTTTTTAACGTACATATATTTTTTGTTTTATCGTGTCAAAATGTCTGGGAGCACTTCATGTGTTTAATAATAATCGCTGTGAAGTCTTTTTTTTCCTCCTCCTGCCATTTAATTAATGGAAACATCTTGCATTTATAGTGCCCTTTTGATGTGGGGATGGCAAGGGACGAACAGAGGAGTGGGGTCAGAGGAGATCTCAGAGATAGAGAAGTGCTAGGGCGTGAAGGGATCTATTGCGATGTTCTCCTGCAGGAAAAAGACTGATCAGAATTTTCATATTTTGCTGTTATATAGCGCCTTATCAGGTCGGGATGTCATTACTGTTGAGAGTTTTTTTCCCCTCATGTATTTAATAATCACTAAATGTAATAAGGTCTTTTTAAATAACGAACATTTGATATAATGCCTTTCACGTCCGGGACCGTAAACAGTGAAGCACTTCACAGGATTTGCTGTAAAGTGAAGTTGCTGGCACAGGAGTGATGGACCGAATGTTCTTCTGGGTTATAAACACTGAGCTACAGGACTCCACTGTAGGACTGATACTTAATTGAAATGCCAGTTGTTCTGTATGTGCAGCTAATAGATTGTCTGGTCTTTTTGCAGAATAGCATGATTCCAACCGGCCTAAAATGGGACGAGCTTTTGTATCCTTTGTATCACAAATACAAGAACTACATCACGTGGGGAGACCAGGACTTATTGAACATCATCTTTCACTACAACCCAGGTGTGTAGTGCATGTCTAATGGAATCCATTCGCGGTAGAATCCCATCTTAATGCAGACAGTCAGGGCGTGGGGGTGGGGGGGGGGGGGGGGGAGAGGTCAGCTCCTAGTAACCCTGCAACCCCAAGCCCTAAAGAGTAAGATGGTCCGAGCTGGATAAACAGAGAGAAACTTGCCAGACAGTGATGGCTCTCAATGGCAAGTTATGAGGTTTTAGCTGGTTGCAGCCCAGCAGTTACCAACACATATTCTGGGTTCCCCAAGCTTGGCTCTCGCCAACCTGCGCCCCGATACTATCCAGAATTAGATAAGCAGGATGCGTCCCTCCGGGAAGAACGAGGGGGAGAGAGAGAGAGAGAGAGAGTGCGCATTCCATTCCAGATACCGGCAAATTTCCTCGCGGAAGTGGCTTAAATACTTGGAATTCTCGGTCTGGGTAGATGTTCTTAAGAACAGTGATGGATTTCCACCTGTGACCTGCAAATAAATTCGACAACTATTTTAACTTTTTTTGAAAAAAAAAGAGTATATTTGGAAGAACGAGCAACATGTTAGTGCAGGATCGAGTGTAGCGTTTTGTTAATGTTAATTTGTGTTGTTTAAACCCACAGAATGCCTATACGTGTTCCCTTGTCAGTGGAATTATAGGCCAGACCACTGTATGTACGGCAGCAATTGTAGGGGAGCGGAGGACCAAGGGGTTTCTGTGCTGCACGGGAACCGCGGAGTTTATCACGACAACAAACAACCTGCCTTTAAGGCAGTGTACGAGGCTTTACGGGATGTAAGTGTGAGAGTGACGGGGGCATTTTAACCAGCTACGCTTTGAGTTACCATCACTGCGAACTTATTTATTTCAGATTTCCTGTGATTACAGCTCCATTGCTGGCTTTCTTTGCTCCGTACATAAATCTCACCGTTCTGACACACTGACCGGGATCACAGCGTCAGGATCGAATTATATTTCGCCCACAAAATACACAGTCACTACACTTAACAGTATATCCTGTGAAGCGCTTTGAGACGTCCCGAAGATGTGATACGGTGCTATATCAAATGCAAGAATTATTATTATTATATATATAATATATTCTCAGCTTCCCAGGTTACAACAATGGCTTACATTTACATAGCGCCCGTCACACCAGGGAGCGCTTAAATTTAGTTATTCTGATCCAAAGAATGAGAATGTCTTAATGGTCCAGAAAAGAATTAGCTGGGAATGGGATAATCCATGCATTTCTCTTTAACTCTCCGATGCTTGATGTGCCTTTCCAGCTTTTGCCGCTTTGTTAGAATAAAAGCGTCGCAATTTATAATAGTCTCGTGGGGAATACCCTGCAATTGGTCACCCTGGATGTATGACAGTAATTTTCTCTCTCTTTCAGTTTCCTTTTGAGGATAACCTCTTTCAGTCTCTCTATTTCCCGCTGCAAAGCAGCTTCATGAAAACTGTGCACACGCTGTGCGGGAGACTTCCTCAAGTCTTCCTGAAGCAGATCGAACAAACGATGAGGAAAGTCTACGAGAAGCGAGTTCTCCGCACGGGATAACGGTCAGAGAGAGAGAGAGAGAGAAGGGGGAAATAAAAACGAAACACGAAGACCCCAGTCCATGCTCTGTCCTGGGCTATAGCCGAGAGGGAAACCCGACAGCTTGTAAGATTTCCAGTTTTAGTTTGGACAGACGTGGGATTTACTTGAGTGGATTACCACAGACTGGAGACGCACAACCCCAGCTTCGGAGGACCATTGCGTTTGGAACCTCGATTGAACCACTGATCGGACTCCGTGCTCCGTCGATACCGTGCTGCGGCTCAGATGTACCTTCGGATCATTCCCTACGGCTGGCAAACGTTCACCTGGTTGAGCCAGGAAGGAGATGGTGAAGTATAACGCACAGCAGCCAGCGCCCACCAGCACATGTGGAGGAACGTACCTAACGTTGGAAGATGGTATAACCCAGCACCACTTGAACCCATTGAAACTGGTGAACCTATTATGCATTTGAACATCTCTCTCTATATATACATATATACATATACATACCAAGGAAGATACAGTCCAGCTCCCGAGATTGAAGAAGTTTTACATCATTGCTATTAACTGTTTGTGTATTAATTCAATTGATTATTCTCTCCCTCACACACACACACATACACAAACACTTATATACGTCACTGCTATTCTGACCAGCTGTTTTCGGTCTCTATTTTGCAGAAACTATGTTTTTCAGCCATTCCAGCCCTGATCTCTGGAACTCCATCCTGGAGTCCCTCTGCCTTGGCCCCCTGCTTACCCGCATAAAGACCTACCTTTTCGAACAGGCTTTCGGCCACCTTTCTCTCTCGCTCTTTCCCTCCCCTCAGCTCATGCTCCCAGTCAGTTGTGTGATGTGCTTCGGATGTCCGCCCGACCTCGTACAAATGTAAATTGTTGCTGTTTGTGTTTGAAGCGAAGTGGACTTTGTTTTGCTTCATTCACGTTCCACAGAGACGTAGCCACGGAGCAGTTGTGCGCACGACTGAAATGGAGTCTGGGCAGCAAAACATTATCTCACATAGAACGCAGATATGAATGTGATTCCCACAGGATGTTGGTGCTTTTTCACGGAGAACTTATTTGAGAAGGGATTGGAGGAAATTCCTTTGTAAACTTGCCCTGGAACCAACAGAGTTTCATAAAGTATTTAGAATCAAATCTCACGTAACAACGTTACTCCCTACTGTGGCAACTTCAGTTTCTAACCATAAAAATGCCCAAATTGTTCCCCAACGTCAGCTATTGTATTGTGAGTGAGAGCTCACGTGATGCATGATGTTTGTTCTGTGCTGTTTTCATAAAACGGATGAGGACAGGCCGGTCCCGCTGGTTAATCAGAGGTCAATGTTACACAAGCTGATCTCAGCCGGCAGCAAATACAATTGGCAGCGGCTGGGGTTGAGGCTGCAAATAAACCGTGACCTGGGTTCTCGATCGCGACGCCATCGGATGGGTTGGGTGAGAGTAGGAGAAAGTTGGTAGCAGGCTGCGCTGGAGAATCACTTTTTCTTACTTATTTTGGATAAATAAAGCCCCCCATCTCCCCCCCCCACCCCCCCCCCAACCACACACACACACACACACACACACACAAACATCTGCGAAATGAACAAAAAAAATATCGGTACCACTTTTTGAACACGCATTATGTGCAAGGTATGTATGTTCAGGTCAAGACGATGGTTGCCCAGTTCCAAAGAAAGGAGTAGTTTAGTGGCTGATATTCCTGACTGCCTCAATGGCCCAGTGAGTAGACGTTCACTGGTGTAACAATAATTCCCACAGACCTGGAAGATTGCAGGTTCAATTCCTGGTCTGTTGTGAGCCAGTTGATCTCACCCGGCTTCAGAGCGATTGTACGCTTGACGGCAATCAACCATCCTATTCCAAGATGAAGAGCAAAAAAAAACCTATCAAAAGAAAATTATAATTGCCTGCTGGCAAATTTAAGATTTTTTTTTAAAAAAAGACTATATACAGATCAAATGTTTTTCACCGTGAGGTTATAAATGTATTCTCAGCAATATTATTAAGTGCAAGTTTTTTGGGCACATTTGTTTTTGTTTGTAACTTTTACATATAACCTCCATTTATTTATACAAGTGTTTCTTTTTAACAAAAGGTATTGTTTCAGTAATAAAAAAAATATTAATACATCAGTTATGGTGTATGATTTCTGTGAATTTCTTTTACGTAGAGTTATAATGGTTTTATAACAACTTGCAAGTCCTTGTGTGACATTCAGAAATGGAAACAGCTTCTATTCTGCAAACCTTCGTTTTAGACCATTAATCAGCTTAAATTTTGGTGTCTCATGAAGCATTTTGGTGATGTTGGCAGCTGATAGGAGGATAAATTATACTGTATATTATATAGTGCATCCCTAAAGATACCATGGATAGTGCTGAACGGAATTTCAGCCCGTAAATGTCCCTGAGGCTATTTGAAGTCTAACTTTGAGGCTGATGCCAACATCAATTACTGAGAAGTACAGAGAATTGTGTGTGTATGTGGGGTGGGGGGAGAGGGTTGAAAGATAGCATTAAAAATAATTGCTAGATAACATTGCTCATGCACTTCCTGGCTATTTGTGGGGACATTGCTTGGTGCAAATTGATTGCCATGTTTGCTTACATATGTGCAGTCACTGCACTTCAGAGTGAAATGCTGTGAAGCTTTTTGAGACATCTCAATGATGTGATGAGGCGCTATAAGAAATCCAAGGATTCATATATATTAGAATGTTTCCCTGCCATTTTGCATCTGGGATCATTGCTTTCCATGCTGTACAGATTGGTGCTGAGTGGAAGTTTGTTTATAGCCGGAGCAATAAGGAAATGTTCACATTTTGTATTCTGCTCGGAAGACTTTGGCACAGAAGAGTGTGAGATGTTCCACAGCTCATGAACATGCTAACTGCTTGTAATCACAAGCATGTATGCACACTACAAGCAAAGCATGCTGCATTTAAATTCTATTCTACAGAACTTCAATACACAACTGTTTGTGGGGACGCTGCTGCGCGCAATTGGCTGCCGCGTTTCGCCCACAAAATATACAGTCAATTCACTTTACAGCATATTCGGTGAAGCGCTTTGAGACGTCCCAAATGCATGATAAAGCACTATATTGAATGGAAGGATAGCTATTACTTAATAGATTTTATAGTTCATGTTTGATATGTTAATGTGTTACAAATGACATCAAAATCCACAGTAAATCCACTTGACAGCACCAATCTGTAAAGCGCTTTCAGACGTCTCAACGACTTGATAAGGGGCTATCTCAAATGCATGGATTATTATTAATATTATTATCCTTGTGTATGAAACGTCCTGAAAGGTAAGTTGCTGTTAAGTAATCTTTCTGCAGCAATTGAAAGGCAGAGCTCAATCGGGTGAGTCTTGTCAAGCCAATAGAAGCTGCCTGATCACACAAGATCACTTGCTGTTTTATTTAAATGGACCCAGTGTCCTCAACCATTCTCCCTGGCAACCTGTTCCAGTCATTAATACGAGAATACGTTTAGAAAACGCCGCCTGTGAAAGCTGAGGAAGAAGAATTGATTGAGGGCTTCGAGAAAAAGATGGGATAGTAAGGTAGGAAATATGATAGAAATATAATCATATGATACTAAACCTTTCATTTGATAATAGGACCTCATCACGTCATTTGAGACACCGCAAAGCACCTGACGGAATTTAACTGTAAAGTGCAGTGATGAGTATTTATAGGCAAACGTGTTGAAGGATGTGACTTAAGATAGTGAAAGAGGAGCGGTGAATAATGTCATGGAATGGGCTGTTGCAAAGTGGGATCAATAGGCCAAATGGCTTTCTCTGTTCCAAAATTCTTAAGTACAGTAATTAGAAATAGAACTATCTTAAAAGGCACCTACTTAGCAGCTGATTAATTCTAAGTCACAAATTGTATCTGAAATCGAAAAATGTAAAATAATATGCAATGGCACTGAAAAGATATCGCTGAAATGTGAAGTCAAAGACTAAATGGTGTTACCTTGGCAGTGAAAGTGCTTTTTTTACATTGTGTGACACCACACGCAAGCCAAATAAAACATTAGGTACTAAGTAGATCAATTAAGGACAAATCCCAGGAAACTGTACTCACACTTCATAAAGTACTGCTGAGTTCACACTTGAGGTATTGTGTCCAGTTTCAGTTATTATACACAGAGGAATTGTGGAGTGTTCAATGAAGGGAAGCCAGATGGTGCTGGGTCTTAAATCAATGAGCTATGAAGAGAAACCAGGGAGTTTAATCTATTCTCACTGGATAAAAAGACCGAACCATGTCCCAGGTTTTTTTAAATTAAATAATGAAGAGAATCAGCGGAGTGTGGAAATGGGAGAACGAGGGGTTACCTGATTGTAAACGAATTGAGTCGAGAGCTAAGTATAACTTAATGAGCGACTCCTATCAGCTAACGGGAGAGAAAGACGCAGCGAGCGTGAAGTCGGGTGAAAAATCATCAAAAAGGGAATTCCACCGAGAGGAGGTTATGGACGTGGGCTTAAGGAATAAAAAGAAATGAATTATTAATTAGTTATTGCAAGTAATCGTGCATTTCCTCGGGACACGAGGGCGAAAAAAAGCGTTGATTCTGATTTCGTGGGAAACTCGAGTTACTTTTAGAAGAAGAGTACCCCTGCCTCTTGAATCAGAAGGTTGTGAGTTCAAAGTCCAGGACCTGACTCAAATGCAAAGATTATTACATTGTGTTTTATATTTTTGTAAATCGTGGGTTGTATGCATACGCGTTTGACGTAAATAACAATGTTTTATACGGTTATAAACTGTGATTTCTGCAGATCAAAGGTGAGGCACAGATCGCAATTACCTGAAACTTGCACTCACATTCACACTGTCAACAAATGAAAGGCATCGCGGCAATATCTTTGGCTCTGGGTTCTGTTGCTTAGCAACATTCAGATGCTGTTTTGGAGCCTGACCGCATCAAATATAACTTTTTCCCTCTTGTTTCAACCTGGACTCCTGACAAGTATGATTTTTTTACACACCGACAAAACCGTTTTGGGATGGACAAAGTCTATTCGAATTCAAGACCCTCATCCTCACCTACAAGGCCATTCACGGCCTTGCTCCCTCCTACCTCTTGACCTACTATCCTCCTACCTACCTGCCCGTACCCTCCGTTCCTCTGGCTCCGGTCTGCTCCACGTCCCCCGCCCCAACCGCCCTACCATCGGTGGCCTTCAGCCTCTCAGCCCCGAGGCTCTGGAATTCCATCCCCCAGTGCCTTCGCCGCCTCCTCCCTTTCCTCCTTCGAGGCCGGTCTCAAGACCTTTCTCGTTGACCGTGCCTTCAGCTCCCCTCTCTACTCTCCACCCCCTCCTCACTCCCTCCCTTCCCTCCCCTCACCCTGACCATTTCCCCACTGCTCGGGTCCTGACCCAACTGTACAGCGCCTTGGGACGTCCTCCCGATGTGAAAGGTGCTCTATAAATGAAATCTTGTTGTTGTTGTTGTATTCCTGGAGGGAAAACAATGATCCCTTTGGTTTCCTTGGCTGTTGTCTCACTGGTTGTCTCTTGGATGGAGATAGCAGATCCTTAGCCTCCTGTTAGGCAACCACAGATGCTAGTCTTAGTGAATGCCAGGCTCCAGCTACTCGCAAGAGACTCTCCCATCAGAATTTATCCTTCAAAATACACAATGATAATAATAATCCTTGCATTTGTTATAGTGCCTTTATCACAGTCTTCCAGAAAAAATCCTGCGAAGTGCTTTGAGACAATCTTCTAATAATAATCCACCTAATAATAATAATCATCCTTGCATTTGATATAGCACCTTATCACATCGTTGAGACGTCTCAAAGTGCTTCACAGGATATACTGTAAAGTGTAGTGACTTTACACAAGCGAGATGATGTGGGTTCGATTCCCGGGCAGGGCGAAACGTTGGGCGGGTTTCCTTACTCCACACGCCTCCGTTTACCTCGCAGTAAGCAGGAACCGGGTTGTGAGTCGATCGGTGGATCGCGTTTCCGGGGGTTAATAATTCCTTCAAAAAGAAATAATAATAATAATTTGGTCATTCGATCCACGGCCGTTTGCGGGGACGCTGCCGCGCGCCATTGGCTGCCGCGTTTCGCTCGCACAATATGCAGTCGGCTCGCTTGGTGAGCGTATGCCGCGAAGCGCTTGGAGACGTCCCGGAGACGCGATAAGGCAGGAGCTGTGTCACAAGCAAGGGGCGTCGTGGTCGTCGTTGTTGTCGTTATTATTATTGTTATTTTGACGGCGCTGCATCTGAATGCGAGGACCGGCTGTTACCGTTGTTATTGCTGTTACGCCGGCTGTTAATAAATAATAATAATAATCCTTGCATTTGATATAGCGCTTTTCACGTCGGGAGGACGTCCCAAAGCGCTTCACAGAACACACTGTAAAGTGAATTGACCGTATATTTGTGGGCGAACGCGGCAGCCAATTGCGCACAGCAATGTCCCACAAACAGTCGTGGGTCGAAAATGACCAATTTTGTTATTGTTTTTTTTTTGGAGGGATTATTGTTAGGGCCGCGTGTGGAATAAGGAAACTCGCGCACGGTTTTGCCCTCTGCCTGGAATCGAACCCGGGTCTCTCGCTCGCAAAGCGAGCGCTCTAACCACTGAGCCACAGCGGAGGGCTTCGGTGTGAGATGCTGCAGGTGACCGAGGAGGGAGGGATGGAGGGAGGGAGGGATGGAGGGAGTGAGGGAGGCATGGAGGGAGGGAGTGAGGGATGGAGGGAGTGAGGAATGGAGGGAGTGAGGGATGGAGGGAGTGAGGGATGGAGTGAGGGAGGGATGGAGGGAGGGATGGAGGGAAGGATGGAGGGAGTGAGGAATGGAGGGGGTGAGGGATGGAGGGGGGGATGGATGGAGGGAGTGAGGGAGGGATGGATGGAGGGAGTGAGGAATGGAGGGGGTGAGGGATGGAGGGAGGGATGGATGGAGGGAGGGAGGGAGGGAGGGATGGGAGGGATGGAGTGAGGGAGGATGGAGGGGGTGGAGGGATGGAAGGAGGAGGGATGGAATGGAGGGGGAGGATGGAGGGAGGGAGGGAGGGAGGGAGGGAGGAATGGAGGGGGTGAGGGATGGAGGGAGGGATGGATGGAGTGAGGGAGGGAGGGATGGAGGGAGGGATGGAGGGAGGGAGGAAGGGATGCAGAAGCAATGCACTCACACACATACTCACACTGTGCTGTGGGGACCTGACTCCACATGATTGACAGGTGTGGAGTAGAGTGGTGGGGGCGGGGCGGGGTGGTGACGTCAGCGGGCCCCTCCCTCCCACCCTCCCTTTCCCCCCACGCACGCACGCACGCACGCGCCGGATGTGTGTCGCCGTCGCCCAGGGGGCCGGCGTGCGTCGAGTGACGTCAGCGGCGCCCGAGCGGGCCGGGGGCGGCCTCTGATTGGCTGGTTTCCCCACGCTCGCGGCGGTGGGGGGGTAACGAGGGGGGAGGGAGGGTGGTAGCGCGCGCGCGCGTGCGCCTGAGCGAGTGAGCGAGTGTGTGTGTGTGTGTGTTTCCGTCCGTCCGGGGGAAGGATTTTTACGGCGGACTCGTGTCCGGGGCCGCCTGGGAGTGTGGAGCCGAGGCAAAGGCGGGCGGCGGCGGTGAGGGGGGGGGAGAGAGAGAGAGCGAGGCGGAGGGAAGGTTTTGAGTGGACACCTCCAAGATGGACGCCGAAGCCCTTCTGGAAGCTCTGGCAGGTCAGCGCTCGCCTCCGCCTCGTCTCGTTGCCGCGTGAAACCGGCGCCTCCCTCCTCCCCGCCCGCCCGCCCGCCCGCGCTTCGTGCTCGGAGGGAGCCAGGGGGTGAGGGGGGAGCAGGACAGGGCAGGGCTGGGCTGTCCCCGGGCCCCGGCCTCCCCCCCCCACCCCTCCCTCCCTCTCTCCCTCTCTCCCTCTCTCCGGGTTTATAATCTATATATCTGTATATTTTAATGATGTTAAAAAAATATATTTTTTTAAATTTCGTTTGTTAATTTTTTTTGTTTTGTTTCTCTCTCTCTCACCTTTCTTTCTTTCTTCCCTCTCTTTTTCTTTCTTTCTCTCTCCCCCCTTCCTCTCTCTCTCTCTCTCTCTCTGTCGTCAGCAGATTTCGAGAAGAAATCCAAGAAGGAAGTGTCGGCGGTCCTGGACCAGTTTCTTTGTCATGTCGCAAAGACGGGAGAGACCTTGTGAGTGAAGGAGAGGGAGAGAGAGAGAGAGTGTGTGTGTGTGTGTGGGGGGGGACTGATGGGGTGGGACGAGAGGAGGGAGGGGGTGGGGAGGATCGGAGGAGGGGAGGAAAAGGGAGGAGCTGGGAGGAGGGGGGTAGGGGAGAGGGGGTGGGGGAGAAGGAGAGGGGAGAGGTAGAGGGGGTGAGGGAGAGGTGGAGAAGAGAGGATAGTAGAGGAGAGGGAAGGCAAATGGGGGTGGGAAAGCAGGGAAGGTGGGGGAACTGGGAGAGTAGAGGGAAGTGGGGGAAGAGGAGTAGAAGAATGGAAAGGTGGAGGGGAGAGAGGAGAACGGAGATTGCAGGAGGTCGGAGAGGATTAGGTAAAGAGAGAATGGGTGGACGATGGAAGCACAAAAGGGGGTGATTTTTCACCCACAAAATATCCAGTCAACTCACTTTACAGTATATTCTGTGAAACGCTTTTGAGACGTCTTGAAGACGCGATAAGATTATAATAAATGCGAGGATTATTATTCGGGGTAAACAAGATCAGAGAGAGTGTTGGGGGGGGAGGGGGGTGAGATGGGGGATAAAACTTTGCATTTGATGCAGTGCATTTCATGTCAGGCTGTCTCAAAGGTCTCGGAAAGTGCCAAACAGGATTTTATTATGAAGTGCAGTGGCTGTACTTCGTAAATAAGTGAAGAAGGGTAGGAGGTGAAACTGGGGAAAGAAGAGGTGGGTGAGGTGTCTGGTCAGGGAGGGTAACGGAAACGGGGAGGACAAGGCAGGGTTGGTGGGGCAATGTATGGTGGATGAGAAATGGTGATCAAGGTAGAAAGGGTTGGGGAAGGGGGAGAGATGAGAGAAGGATCTCCATATAGGAATATGAAGGGGCTGTTCAGAATTGTTCAGTTCTTTTAATCTAATTTTTCCACTTTTCCTCCATGTCCATTAATTCCCCTTAATTCCTAGTTATCTAAGCATCTTCTTTTGAAACGTCCCGATTGATGATTCTGTCTCCCTGGCGTTCTGGGGCAGTGAGTTCCACGTTTTTTTTTCACAGCCTTCCGTGTGAGGAAATCTTTTCTGCTCCCACTTCTAACTAGTTTAGTCCTCATTTTAAGGCTACGTTTGCCATGTGTTTTAATTCCCTCTTCCGTAGGGAGCTATCCAGCTTGTCAATTCCCTTAATTACTTCAAACGCCTCAGCTGAATGTCCATTAACCATTACACAATATAACCCCAGTTTACTCAACCGCTTGTCATAACTACATCTCTATCCCAGGTATTAATCTGGTGAATATAGTACAACCACTCATCCCTGGCACTTCTCTGCCTCTACACCATCGCCAATGAGGGGGATATGGTGGTAGATAGGAGGGTGGGGGGAAAGTGAAGAGAAGGGGGACTATCGGGAAGGGTGGGAGGCGGGGGGGGGGGGAGGTGGGAGGGGGGGGGGGGAAGAAGAAGGAAGTGAAGAGGAGGGGACTGGGAAACGGCCATGGTCGACTCAGTCCTGTGGGTGGGGGTGCGTTCTGTCAGATCCTCGTGTGTGAGAGTGTGTCTGGGGGAGTGGTGGGGGGTCAGTCAAAACTAGTGTCTGTGTCTGGGTGGGGGGGCAGTCAGACTCTAGTGTGTGTGTCTGGGGTGGTGGGGGGGCAGTCAGATCTTAGTGTGTGTGTGTGTGTCTGGGGGGGGAGGGGGCAGTCAGACCCTAGTGTGTGTATGTCTGGGGGGGGGCAGTCGGACCCTAGTGTGTGTGTCTGGGGCCGGGGGGTAATCAGACCCTGGTGTGTGTGTCTGGGGGGGTGGGGGGGACAGTCAGACCCTAGTGTGTGTGTCTGGGGGGGGGCAATCAGACCCTGGTGTGTGTGTCTGGGGGGGGAGGGGGCAGTCAGACCCTAGTGTGTGTGTCGGGGGGGGGGCAGTCAGACCCCTGTGTGTGTGTGTCTGGGGGGGAGGGGACAGTCAGACCCTAGTGTGTGTGTCTGGGGGGGGGGGCAGTCAGACCCCTGTGTGTGTGTGTGTCTGGGGGGGGGGGGGGGCAATCAGACCCTGGTGTGTGTGTCTGGGGGGGGTGGCAGTCAGACCCCTGTGTGTGTGGGGGGGGTGGGGGGGCAGTCAGACCCCTGTGTGTGTGTGTCGGGGGGGGGGGGCAGTCAGACCCCTGTGTGTGTGTGTGTCGGGGGGGGGGGCAGTGGTGTTTCTGCAGCAGGTGCCGGCAGCTCACTGCCGAGCCCCCCCCCCGGGTCCCGGTGTGAGTGCGAGGCCTGGGGGCTGGGACTCCCCTCCTGCTCCTTCCTCGGCAAAGCGCCGCAGCGCAGCCCTGTGTGCGCAGCGTGTGGGGCGGGCGTGAGCAGCGGGGCAAGTCCCCGGCGTCAGGGCCTGAAGCCTGAGCCTGAGGCCGGGAATGGAGGGGAGGGAGGGGGGAGGGAGTGAGGTGGGGGGGGGAGGGAGGGAGGGGTGGGGGGGAGGGAGGGAGGGTGGGGGGAGGAGGGAGGAGGGTGGGGGGGAGGGAGAGGAGGGTGGGGGGGAGGAGGGAGGGTGGGGGGGAGGAGGGAGGGTGGGGGGGAGGAGGGAGGGAGGTGGGAGGGAGGAGGGGGGGGGGGGGAGAGGGAGCGAGGGTGGTGGGGGGAGAGGGAGCGAGGGTGGGGGGGGGGGAGAGGGAGCGAGGGTGGGGGGGGAGAGGGAGCGAGGGTGGGGGGGGGAGAGGGAGCGAGGGTGGGGGGGGGGAGAGGGAGCGAGGGTGGGGGGAGAGGGAGCGAGGGTGGGGGGGGAGAGGGAGCGAGGGTGGAGGGGGGAGAAGGAGCGAGGGTGGGGAGAGGGAGAGGGAGCGAGGTGGGGGGGGAGAGGGAGCGAGGGTGGGGGGGGAGAGGGAGCGAGGGTGGGGAGAGGGAGCGAGGGTGGGGAGAGGGAGCGAGGGTGGGAGAGGGAGCGAGGGTGGGGAGAGGGAGCGAGGGTGGGGAGAGGGAGCGAGGGTGGGGAGAGGGAGCGAGGGTGGGGAGAGGAGCGAGGGTGGGAGAGGGGCGAGGTGGGAGAGGGAGCGAGGGTGGGGAGAGGGAGCGAGGTGGGAGAGGGAGCGAGGGTGGGGAGAGGGAGCGAGGGTGGGGAGAGGGAGCGAGGGTGGGGAGAGGGAGCGAGGGTGGGGGAGGGGAGGGAGGGTGGGGAGAGGGAGGGGGGGGGGGGCGAGGGGGGGAGAGGGAGCGAGGGTGGGGAGAGGGAGCGAGGGTGGGGAGAGGGAGCGAGGGTGGGGAGAGGGAGCGAGGGTGGGGAGAAGGAGCGAGGGTGGGAGAGGGAGCGAGGGTGGGGGAGGGAGCGGGGGTGGGAGAGGGAGCAAGGGTGGAGGGGGGAGTGGGAGCGAGGGTGGGGGTGGGGAGAGGGAGCGAGGGTGGAGGGGGGAGTGGGAGCGAGGGTGGGGAGAGGGAGCGAGGGTGTGCGGGGGGGAGAGGGGGCGAGGGTGGGGAGAGGGGGCGAGGGTGGGGGTGGGGAGAGGGAGCGAGGGTGGGGGGGGGGTGGATTGCCACCTGCTCTGCTGCACTGTGTGATCTCACCACCACATCTGAGGATTGCAATTGCTCTTAGAAACATCCCCCCCCCCCCCCCCCCCACACACACACACAAGTATTGTTTTATTTATTTCTCTGCCCTTCTCAAATGAAGGTTAAACTGCGGCCAGAGTTTGGGATACATTTAATCTCTTCGCAGCTAATCAGAGCTGGGATGAATAAAAAAAAATTGGGGTTGGGGGAGAGTTTAAAAAGAGTTTTAGATTAGCTGGGTCTCGGGGATGTTGGAGCGGGGTGGTGGGGGTGGGGTGCGTTAGCGAGAGAAGTCAAGGCGGGAAAGTATCAAATGCAAGGAGGAAAAGGATTTTTATGAACCAGCAGCGTTTGGAACGGTTTATCTGCGAGAGCGAGCGCTGTATTTGCAGGGCATTAAATTGAACTTAAACGCAGACGAGGGCGCAGTGTTGCTGTGCGGAGTTTTTCATCGTGATTATCACCGAATACAATTCGCCCCTCACGCGGGTTTCGAGAATTGTTCCGAGCTGCGACCGTTGCCGTGATCTGTACACGATTTGCTCTTGGGCGTTTGCTCAAACCGATTGAAACTTCCATCGCAGTGCTTCGAGATGTCCTTTAACTTGAATAATTGATATAAATCAAGTTAAAATAGATTGTTGCTAAGCACTTCACTTTAACGATGGCGCTGATTCCCTCACCTCAAGCCGTTTAGCTTAGATGCACAACATACCGCAAATTAGCCTTGACGTTTCACCCACAGTCATTCTTGTGTTTTGTCCTGTGTGTATGATCATGAGTATTTGGTAATGAACTTCAAAGTTGTCCGACTTCTCTCCTGTTTTCATTGTCCTCTAACCAACCGTAGACTTACCTTTCAGTGTTGTCATCTTTATTCTGGTAGCTACACTGTGGCTCCACAACAATTGTATTTAAGTCCTAAAGTACTGGTTATGTGGCTGATCAGAAGGTCCCAACGACATTAGGTTTCTCCTTAATTTCTCAGTGTCTAAGATTAGTCCATCAGCATTAATCTCCTCTCCTGCAAGATTTGTGTGGCACGTATATCTTCTCGGGGCTTGCACAGAATTTTGCACGTCTTGTATCAAAGTGCACTGCTTAACGGACTTTGAAATAGGGTATTGTTTACTTTAAAAAAATATATTATTTTCTTTGTAAATGGTTCCAATTTGTTTTGCTTGAGTGATTGTAGTGTTTCAGCTATTTAACATGTCACTTAATGTGTGCATGTGATCACACACTGGTCCTTTCAGTATTTTTTGGGGGGTTAAGCTTGTGTTAAGTGTGGAGCCAGCACTGTGATTAGCATGTCCCTTGATTTTCAGTGTGAAATTGGAACTATGTGTATACAATTCCAGATGCTAATCTGTTCCATGACTGGTGCATTGTGTTGTACCACATTTATTAAAACAAAATGCTTTTGATGACATTTGATATTTACGTCTTTAAGAGTGGAGCTTGATTTAGTGGGGTCAGGTGGAAGGAATTGACCTTTAAACACATAATTTTTCCAGCAGAAGAAATATTAAGTTTGAATTTTAAAAGCGTCACAGTAAAGAAGTGAATAATTCATTGCCTGATCTTTGGGGCTCGGTATTGATGCGCTTATCGTAATGAAAATTTGGTGATGTAAAATGGTGAGATGGAGTGCAATTCAAATGTTCCATTCACTGTTGTTTTTCTTAGTGTTAGTGTAGAGAAGTGAATGCGAACCTGCTGAGTTTGTGGATCGATACAAAACTAGGAAGAATCAAATCTATATTGGATTTTTTTCTTCTCAAAATGTGGGGTGTGTTCAAGATAAATGTTGATCTCTAAGCATCATAGTGGTTTCCCACAACACAGCCTACTTGTCGAGAGACAGTTTCTTGCATATTTTAACTAAATTTGATATAAATGGATAAAGAAAAACAAATAAACAAAGCTTTGATTTAGCATTTTCCGGGTACAGAATGTTGGGAATAAATTTGTTATCCATTTTTGAAACTTTCTCTGAAGTGCAGTGGCATTTAGTGAGAAAATATAATCAATTTCCAGTACTATAGAGGACTTGTTCTCTGTAGGGTTTATAATAAGCCCATGGATATCAATGTACAACTGACAATTGCTACTGACTGATAAATACACAGAGCTTTAATTATTGTTTGTTGTGGAGACAATGAAATCATTTGTGGCATGGAGAATATGAGCAGAAAGTGTAGGTATTTTATCCCTTGGAGCATTGAATTCTATTACCTTCCTAGTGTTTTGTGAAATCACAGCATTTGTTATGGTGATTTCACAAAGTAGGGTGTCTGATAGGGAAAATATTACATTTGCCTGCATCAATTTTTGGCCTCCTATAACTTGGTTGCAAGTGAGGGCAAGTCAGCAGTGGGCTGTTCTGCCCACTTTTCCCTCCAGAGAAGTATGCGGGCTCTGAGTTGGCCGATTCAGAGATTCAGGAGCTTGCAGTAGTCAATGAATGCACTGTATAATGTGGGTCTTATCTGTAGAACGGTAAGGTCAGGGGTTGAATCCCTGATCTTGCTTTACAAGTGCTAGAGATGGATATTCGGCCTTACAACTGAAGTCTGAGAACTTCTGTGTGATAATTCCCCTCTCCATATCACGATTGTTGAATTCTGTTCCAGTTCCCAAGCTATCAGTAGCTAAATCCGAGGCAGCTAATGTAAATGTCAGTAGCCTTAGTGTATTAGTACTAATAATTATTGGAAAAAATTCACCAGGGCCAATTTATTTCAATTTTGTGCCAGTGGGCAGTTTCTGCAACACATTTAACCTTTTGACTGCTTTCAAATCTATGGAAACTCCCTTCTCTGTAAAACAACCTTTTCTGTAAGCTTTCAGGTCTTTTGCTGTGCACAAGTCTCCCAGTTACTACAATAATAAAACAACTGAAACATTTGTAAGGTTCATTAACCTTAACCCACCAAAACAATACAAAAAAAACGAAAAGGAAACCATTTTGAAAACGTTACCTATGCTCGTGTTGTTTTAATTCCATTTTTACAGAATCTTTACTCTCTAACCATTTTCTAACCTTTTTCTGGCTTCTTGATTTTCAAAAGTTATCATTGTGTTTTATCAGTTTTCGGGTAGAAGATCCATTTTTGAGTTGACTTTACAGACTAGCTTTACATCCAAAGAAAAGCTGAAAGAAGGAAGGTTAGTGAGGTTGCATCATAGAGGTTGACCTTTAATGCGTAAAGTACTTCAGTAGGTGGAAGCTGCAGACTAGTAGACTTGTTTAATACCCTAAAGGGTACTTTATTCTCTCAGATTACCTCCAGTACCAAAAGATTAAAAGAAACTTTCCAGACCTGTTTGGAAGGACAAGTTTGTAGTTGTATCACTGGTTCTTATCCACAGTTAATAATAATAATAATAATCCTTGCATTTGATATAGCGCTTTTCACGCTGGGAGGACGTCCCAAAGCGCTTCACAGAACACACTGTAAAGTGAATTGACTGTATTTGTGGGCGAACGCGGCAGCCAATTGCGCACAGCAATGTCCCACAAACAGTCGTAGATTGAAAATGACCAATTTATTATTGTTTTTGGTTTTGGAGGGATTATTATTAGGCTCTGTGTGGAGTAAGGAAACTTGCCCAAGGTTTCGCCCTCTGCCTGGAATTGAACTCAGGTCTCTCACTTGCAAAGCGAGTGCTCTAACCACTGAGCTACAGGACTCCACAGTTAGTGGTTGTGTGAAAAGTTTTCATGCACCCACCATTAGCTATTGCCGAAACACGAATTGAGGAGCAAAGCAGGATCGAAAGGGGAAACCTGTAGTACGGCTGCACACAAAAAGGTCACACGCTTATCATTGTGCTTTACTTAAATCATTGTGGTTCAGTCATGAGGTTCAAACAATTGAAACTGTCGTCCTTTTTGTGAACCCTATTAATTGAATACCTGGTTGCTGAACCTTCTGGACTTTAGAATCTGCTAACTCATCAGGAACCCATACAGAACTCCTGATTCAGATGAGTGGTCAGATCTGGCACAACTCCCCTCTCCTCCCCTCTATTGAGTTAGGAGTTCCAGCAGGTGGTGATTATAATGACGGTGACAGCCAGCAAACCTTCAATTCCCGATCTTATAATGTTAAGTAGGAGCATGACACAGCAATAGCATTAACATTGGGGTTAGGGCAGTGATCCAGTAACCTCAACATATCCTTAAAACGCCTGATTTGAGTATTGTCCGGGTTGGCCCCAGGTAGTACTGCTTACAGTACAATAAATTGGTCAGTCAATCCACGACTGGGACACTGTTGTGCGCAATTGGCTGCTGCATTTTGCCCACAAAATATACAGTCAATTCAATTTAAAGTATATTCTGTGAAGCGCTTTGAGATGCCTCAAAGACGTGATAAGCCGCTATATCAAGTGCAAACATTATTATTATTGTATATTTAACTTCTGTTATTTCTAACGTACTAGAGCAACCGTAGTAAAATAATACTTAAGCTTGATATTTCACGTGGGCAAGATGTTTCAAAGTGCTTCACAAGATATACTGTTGTAGGCAAATGGTGAAAACAGTGAATTGTGGGAACTGGATACTGAGGTTTTTTTTTAAGGCTGTGAAAATGTTCCCACAAAGATGGGTCTAAAGGCATTCCTGTTCTGCCTGCTCTGCTTATCACTCCAGACTATATATTTGTGTGGTGGATCACTTTGAGGATGTATGGCCACCCTTTGATCTGCTGATTTCCAATCCTTTCACAATTGGCAGAATTCTCGTCTCCTGTTGCAGGAAGGACAGTTTTAAATTAACAAAATGGTGGGGGTTTTCAGCATAGCAACTTGCAGACATGACTTGTGCCCAGTCTCACTAACTTAATCTGCTCCATGGATATGCCAAATATAACATTTTAGGAATAGTTTTCTGTACTGGGTGAATATGGTAATGGTTAAAATGTTTGATATCCTGCTGTAGGTTAATATGTATAATAAGCTGCTGAAGTTAATATTCAAAAGATTTTAACATTTAATACTTTCCACATTGAAATTGTATTAGTTTCAAATGTTGAAATTTGTCCTGTGTGAACTCCATTACGGTTTGAACTCCAGAGCTTAGTGACAAGAAAATGGTTCACTTCCAAGTGGATTTTATGCTGCTGAATCTTCTGAAGTGCTGAAAAATAAATGATAAAGCAGATCAGATAGCAGCCTCGGCTAGAATCTGTTTCATTGCCCATCTCGCTTGAGAATCTTGTATGATGAATACTTTGGCATAATGTCTCTATGCTTATCCCAGGATGGTTATCAGAAGTACAACTTGCTCGTTTCTTGTTAATAGTGAATAATTTCTTCAGTCAGGAGAATCTGAGCCACAAATTTATCAATTCTAGCAATTATGAACTGTAGCAACCTGATGAAATCAGAGTATAGCTGACCATGCAAGGATAGTTTCAAGGTAGTAAGCTGCTTATTTGTTTATACAGGAGGTTGACATAGGACAGCACTGGATATGAGCACTAGTGTTATAATAATAATCCTTGCATTTGATGTAGTGCCTGATCACGTTGTTGAAACATCACAAAGTGCTTCACAGAATATATTATAAAGTGAATTGCCTATTTGCGGACGAAATAGTGTTAAGATACTGTTGTGGGTTAAACAACAAAAAGAACTTGCTTTTATATAGCGCCCTTCATGTCGGACGCAGAGCGTTTAACAGTGGCGGAGCCCGATGCCGAGCCAAGGAGAGGGGGAAGGTGACTGTAGGCACGGTCAAAGCACGACCTGAAAATGCGGAGAGAGGGGCGAGGTGAAGGGATTGAGGGAGAGAGTTCCACAGCTTCGGAAAGCACAGCCACCGATGGTGGGACGTAGGGTCCGGGGGGACGACGACAAGGAGGAGGCCGGAGCCAGTCGAGCGGAGGCAGTGGGCAGTAGTGTAGGGAAAGAGCAGGTTGGAGAGAGAGGGCAGTCCCAGGGAATGAAGCAATTTAAATAAAAGAGATTGAGGATCTTGAAATTGATCCACTTTGAAATAGTGTTAAGATACTGTTCCATTATATGGTGTTGCCTGTTTTTATTTTCTAAACCATAACTTGTAACTGATTACTGGATTGTAATTTCAGGATTCCTTGGTCACAGTTTAAAAGCTACTTTATGTTCAAGTTGGAGAAGGTGATGGATGACTTCAGAGCCTCTGCCCCAGAACCTAGAGGTCCTCCAAATCCAAATGTGGAATATGTCCCCTACGAAGAGATGAAGGACCGAATCCTTAAAATTGTTAATGGATTTGCCGGGTAAGTGGATCATAAAAATATACAGTCAATTCAAATTACAGTATATTCTGTGAAGCGCTTTGAGACATCTTGAAGACGTGATAAGGCGCTATTATCAAATGCAAGGATTATTATTATTATCATCGTCCGTTTTATTTATTTTCAGCTGTTTTTATGTTGCAATTTACAATGTGTAATAATAAATTCCGAATAACAGCCAACAGAATAGAATAAACTGCCAGAAAAGAGAGTGTTTCCTGATCACTTTGACACGTACAATACAGCCCACTGCACTAAAACTGCTGGGGCTCTGCTGCGTTGAGCAGAGGCAGCTGCAAAGTTCCTATTTGTCAGTCATTGTTGGACGCACGAGAGGCTGACCTGGGGAGGGGAATAGGTTGCTATGGTTTGGTTATAAGTAGCTTTTTTAAAACTCAGGAACTACTCTCCAGGCACCTGCACTGTAATTAAGGAAGGGAGATTGGGTGCACTGGAACATAGTTGTGGCCCTAGTCAATTTTATGAGTGCTGTTCAGTACAAAATATGAAAGTTGACACACAAAATGGGAGTTCCTCTCCTGGTATCCATCAGTAACCTGTGATACGCCATATGGCGTTTAATCTCCAGGCACCCAATGTTTGCTTTTCTTATTTAAACAAAACAGCCGCTCGACAAAATGTTAGGCTTTTCTCTGCGTTATTTCTAATGTACTGTGATGTGTGCAGCTAATCCAAGGGTAGGACATGATACAGTTGGTAGCTCATTTTAGGCTGTAAAATATGGCAGTAATTAAAATGTCTTCACAAGTTCACTTTGATTGTAAGGCTAAACTGCTCAGTGCAGCTACATAAATATGCAACTGAGGCAAAGTGGTTACACTATTTATTTAAAGATTTACAGTTAAAATTTGCAGTGATTTTAAACTGCTGATTAACATAAATTTGGGGGCAACAGGTTTATACCAAGGCGTGCATACTGATCTGTAGGCTTTGAATAATTAAATGTGCAATTGATCCATTGTAGGTAGACGATGGGTCATGTGCAGTAAATGTGAATAGGATGCCTGGCTAATTCTCTTTGTACTAAAAACATTCTTACATAGAATGTAATGTTGATTACATGACCAAGAATTGACCAGCTGTTAAATGCTTGATCTTGGGAACCTCGCAGGTTGTATATGGAATGTATGATTATAGAGGAGGAGCTCCTATTTCTGCGGTAGGTTTGCAGCAACCATATTTATTTAGTGCATTTCATGTCAGACGCCATTCTCCGTTTGGTTTGGATACTCTTTAAGCGCAGTGATGGGTTTCCGCATGTGTAGTTGTATGCTCACCAAATAAATATAGCCTCAAAGCATTTCAAACAGTGATCTGAAAACCTGAGCAGGGGATATGGGAAGGGGAACCTGAGGAGGAAAGAGGAGATGATAAGATGGCTGAAAGATGGATCTTACAGTAGATTTGAAATCCCTTTATGTCTTTGCAGCTCCCTACCTATCTGACTTGCTTACCCCACCACCCACCGCCTCCAGCCTCCTGTTTGTCCCTTATGCCCTCCGTTCCATCCTTCAGCCACTCAGCCCTGGAACTCTCTCCCTCAATCCCTCCGTCTTGCCCTGGTCCTTCCCCACTTTCAATCCCACCTAAAGAGCTTCCTTTTTCGATCGTGCTTGTGGTCACTTTCCCCTTCCGTCTCCCCCTGGCTCGGGATCAGACTCCGCCACTGTCAATCGCTCCGGGGCGCTACCCTGTGCGAAGGACGCTTTCTAAATGCAAGTTGTTGTTGGAGGGTTGAGGACAGGGTGGGGAGCAGCTCGAAGGGCGCAGTTTCAGAAAGCGGGGGCAGACCGGCTGAAAGCATGCCCACTGGCTGTGGGGCAGATCTGGGTGGGGGAATGAACCACGTCGGTTTGAGTCAGGGCAGCAGGTTGCAAATGGAGGTTGTGGCGATGGTGTGGAGGCATTTAATTGATTCGAAACGTCGAAACGTGAAGGTTATTTTCAGAAACTTTTCGCAACGGCTAGGTTTAATCCTTCCTTTGCTGGACACTATTGGAACGGCAACGGTAGAACCTTTGGTAAATTCTGTTGGAACCGATTCTTTGTAATCGTAATGATAAATAAGAAAATGATTTCATCATGCTTCATTAATGTAGCTACCATTATCATAAATGAAGCAACATCATTTATTTTGCTCAAATAACTCGCAAACTTGCCTTTTGTAGCATTTCACTTATTAATCCTTGCATTCGATAAACTGCCTTATGTTCAAACATCTCAAAGTGCTTCAGAGATTTTTCTGTAAAGTGTAGTGACTGGAATTTTTAGAGAGAGAGAGAGAGCTTTTCCGGACTGGCTTGATCCTTCAAGCAGCCGATCAATCCCATTAAATCAGTGTTATTCGCAGTGATCCTTGGACTCTGCAAGAGGAAGGATGCAAAGAAATTGCAGAGCTATTAAAGACTTTACCCTTCCAGCGCTCTCCCCTTCCTCCTGCCCCCTTACCCCCACCCCCCCCACCTCCTCAAAAAAAAACCTCTCAATACTGTTGTATAGTTTGATATGATTCTGATTGTGCATTCTGGAAACTGGGGTAACTCAAGTCGGGTTCCCTGTCAAATAGTATTGCATTAGGGCTGAAGATTGCATTGAGGTCTTTCTCGCCTGGTCCTTCCCCGCCCCACTGGCTGCAGAAGCCACTTTGCGCCACTAGAGAATGCTGTTTCACAATTCGTAAAGGCCGTTTAGCTGCAGAAACAAAGCACGGCGTTGAGCTTTGATCATGCAAGAGCGTTCACAAACACTTAATCAGCAGAAGCTCTAATCCACATAAACAGACTCGCACAACTTGCAAGACAAATTACCCTTTTGGTGTCTCTTTGATGTATGGAGTAGCTCATGAGTGAATGGATCACACCAAGTTTTTAAGTGTGTTATAATTAATGAACGAAAAACGGGCTAAGTAGCGTATTGTACTCCACTAATGAGCAATCTGCCAATAATGTGCGTTTGATTTTTAATATCATTTGAAGTGATCCTGCCTCTTGTATTGCAGGACTATTAGGAAAAGTAGCTCTGGAACTTTTAAATTTTGACTGCCTCCTTGTTCATAATTTATCTGCATTATCTGTAAAGATTGCCGGACAAGATGCAGGAGAATATGTAGCGGTGTTTGCCTGAATGGCCGAAGCTTTCCTTCGTGTACTGTTAATGCACGTGCTCCACTATACAAGGTTTCAAGATTTTTCAAAACAGCCAGTGCTGTTGCACGTTGTATTCTTCTGGAAAGGTTTGAACTTTTTTTGCAGTGACTTACCCAATCCCTGTAGAAACTCAATACAGATGGGAAGTAGCATAGTGAAATGAGCTTCCCTGTCACCTCAGGGAGTTGGAAGGAACTTACACCAGCAGCTGTGATGATTCTTTGCCACTTTTACCTTTGGTTCCAGTACTGCTTCAGTTTTTTTTAGTGCCAACACTGACTCCGTTGTGCTCCTCAGAAATTTGGAAACCTGCCCAGATATGTCTCTGACGAATCCCTGTATAGTAAAAGTGTGAATTGACTAACTTTAAATTGTAATTAGTAGGATCACAACACAATGAGCTCAAAATGATAGGGCCTAAATATAAGATAGCTAGTAGTAGATCTAACAGGGAGTTTAGGAAAGGGTGGTGAGAATGTGGAACTGACTGGGGGAAAGCGGTAGTTGAAGCAAATAGCATCAGTGTATTTAAGAGCAAACTTGATGTATTACATCAGGGGGAAGGGAATTTAGAGGTAGAGGAAAGGCAAGGGGTGGGTGCTTGTATGAAGTATAAACACAGGCACAGATTAGTTGGGTCGAATGGCCTGTTTCTGTGCTGTATCATTCTAAGTAACTCTATATGTAACAAGAGTGGGAATAAAAGGTGAGCGCTAACTCGTTCATGAATGAAATGTTTGTGGCTGGGGTTGGTTTAAGGGAGAAAAGAAAGAGGAAGGCGTTTGCTATTGTGTGCCAGAAACAGAAAGCTTTACTGTGGAATTATTCCTGTTGCTTCCATACAAGGCAGTTTTTTTTGGTGAGCAAACAGGTGTAAGGAAGAGAAAGGAAATACATCTTTGTCAACCTGGCGGAATTATCATAACCGCTTTCCTTTTCAGAGACTGAGACCGACTTTGAACATTTCAAAATAACAGGGTTGGCTCCTGTTTGTAATTTGCAATAATTCCATGAACGCTACCTGCTGCCTCAGTTTTAAGACCCATATTTGGGCGCAATTTGCTGGGCAAGTTTCCTCACTCCACACACACACACACACACACACACACACACACACACACACACAGCAGTAAGTAGGAACCCGGTTGTTAGTCGATTGGCGGATTGCTTTTCCGGGGGTAATAATTCCTTTTAAAAAAAATTGGTCACTTCAATCCGCGACTGTTTATGGGACACTGCTGTGCGCAATTTGCTGTCGCGTTTCGCCCACAAAGTATACAGTCAATTCACTTTACAGTATAATCTGTGAAGTGCTTTGCGACGTCTCAAAGACGTAATAAAGTGCTAAGTCAAAAGGATTATTTGATTTTCAAAAATTCTGATGCATTTAATTGTTTATTCATGTTAAATCTCTAATCTAAAACGTTAACATCATTGAAGTCCTGTACTTAAGCTTAAATTTGCTTTTAGTTATCTTGCTGTAATTCTTCATTTGAAACCTGGCCAAAGAGATTTAATTTTAGCACATTGGTTATGGACAGTAAATAAAGGTGTGTAATTACATTGGTAATTACACAATTCAGCTTCCTGCAAGGAGGAAAGCTCGGTGTGTTTGTGGATCAAGCTTTCCTCCTTGCAGGTAATACAGGACAACAATTTGCAGTTATAAGCTCCTTTCACATAGAGAGAGACGTCTCCAAAGAGCATACAAAGCATGAATGAGAGTTGAGCTGGGAGGGAGCTAAAAATAATAATCCTTCCATTTGACATCACACTATCGCATTGTTGAAGTGTCAAAGCAGTTTGCAGGCTTTTACTGTGAAGTGTAGTGACTGTGTGTATGTGGGCAAACATGGCAGCCAATTTGCGCACAGCAATGTCCCACAAACAGCAATGAAGTGAGTGACCAATTTTATCTAGCAAGGGTGAGAGGAGGTGGTGGTCCAAGGCATGGTCAACGATAGATGTTTCATACAAATTTTGAAAGCAGGTGAGGTGAAGGTAATTTCAGAAGAGAGCTCCAGAGGATGTGGGCCAAGTGGCTGAAAGTCAGCTCACTGATGAGCAGGCGGCTGTACAGCAGGTTAGAGATGGTAGAGTGGAAAGAGTGACTCGGAATCGAGTTGCAGGAGATTGCAGAGCTAGTTATTTATGTTTCTTCACATACTGTGAGTGTTTGCATGAGTGTAAATCATTTTGACAAACATAAACAAGCTGCATTTACTTTTGTGACTCACTAAATGTGAGCTCTCTTAAATGTATACGGTAATGTATATTGACTACACGGTGAGCGCAAGATAGTGCCAGAAACGCATTCTGTTTTATGAAATGACATATTTTAAGTGTTCTAAAATACCTCATCAGTAAATTTTATTCCGCTGTTGACTATGGGGGACTTTACATGCATCTTAAAGGCTTTTGAACCCATAATGGAGGAATGGTTTATATGTACATGGAGAGTTGTCAATACAAAAAGTACAATATAGATTCAGGCTTTTACTGAGGATACTATCAAGTGTTTAGAACCCCAAAGGAAATCAATGCAAACTTGATTTTTTGGCAGTTTCCTTGCCAAAGTCCCCAGCTTAGTTTTTGCTTCTGGCAGTCTAATGTGTAATATTGTGGTTGGTCTGTTTCTATTTGCAGTATTCCCTTCACTATCCAGCGTTTATGCGAGCTACTTACAGATCCGAAGAAGAATTATACTGGGACAGACAAGTTTCTTAGGGGTGTTGAGAAGGTAACCAACAATCCAATATCTTCATTAAATTTGTTCGTGTTGCACTACTGAGAAATCTCCTTCGCGTCTATGTTTTTTGAACTGGTGATGAAAGCCACTTTTTATTTTGCCAATCGTCTTTTACAACCAAGTCTCGCAAGTTTTAACTCAGTAAAGATGAGGTTTTGGGGAAAAACAATGGAGAAATTTCTTCTTTGAGACGCTACCCTGCGTGGAGGCACTATATAAGTGCAAGTTGTTGTTGCTTGCTGTGTGGAGCACTGATCTGAACAGTCCAAGGATGCCAGGTGTGTGCGTGTTCTCGTCTCAACCAGGATGCCAGCAGATTTTCTACACTTGGCTCCTGCCTAATAGCCTTTGGATGAAAAAAGAAATTAAATACGTTTCTACATAGCGAAAATGACTTATAAAATGTATCTATCCAGGGCTACGTGAATTTTTGTAATGTTCTTTGTGCAGAATATATTGCCTTTCATTTTCTTGAGAAATGTTGTTCTATTTATGTTTTAAAATGTTTTATTTTCTATTGCAGAATGTTATGGTTGTCAGCTGTGTCTATCCCTCTACAGAGTAAGTCATGTTTTTTTGAAATGTGTTGTCATTTTCTAACTTCGACAACTTGATTATGAAGCTTAGCTTTTTTTTTCCCGCTAATCTTGTTTAAATTTTTTTTAAGGAAATGCAACTTTGGCTCGAATAGTTTGAACCGGGTGAACGGCATTATGCTATCAGGGAGTCATACCAGTTACACAGACAGGTGAGCCCACATTATTTTCCTCTTAAGATTTCCAATCTCAATATGAGAGAGTTATCCCACTTAAATGTGAACTTTTGCTTTGCTGTTTTTGCCCCGCATTTGCGCACGTTGAACGATAACATCATGGGTGGAATGACATCGCCTAAATTGCGCAGTCCTGGTGACGTTTAGGATCACTTTATTTTCATGATATGTTGCCATCACTTTGTCATAATAATACTTGAATTTGATATAGCACCTTATCATGTCTTCGAGATGTCTCAAAGCACTTCACAGAAGATACTGTAAAGTGAATTGCCTGTGTATTTTGTGGGCAAAATTAGCTTCTTAACCTAGAAATGAAATGAGACTGCGTTCAAAATCCTTGTTGAGGCCAAAATTACAAATCTTACTTTTAGCCGTTGAGTCACTTTTGGTTGGAATATTGATTTGCTCCCATGTAGGCATGGAAAGGTTTTCAGAGAGGAGTGACCACATTGTAACTGATAGCGGGGAAAGAGAATGAGACGATAACACCCACTGAACAGGGATGAGAATAATGTAGTATATCTTAGTGTGGAAAAATTGAGGTGCAGGGAGTGTAATCTAGTTGATGGCGTCAGGTGTCAAACCTTGAGCGTTATTATATGGAGAGGTCAGATTTCAGCATTTAAGTCTCCCCTGTAATAGAGAATTTTATTTGGGTGGTGCACCCATCTTTGTACAGATATTGCTGTAACATTTTCACCCACAAAATATACAGTCAGTTCACTTTACAGTATTCTGTTAAGTGCTTTGAGATGTCTCAAAGATGCAATAAGGCTCTATGTCAAATGCAAGGATTATTGTAACATGCTACAGGTCAAATCTTGTACCGTATGACTTCCTAATTATTCTCTTTGATACTTGGTGAACACGAAACTGCGACCTCTAGGTGTCGTTGTCAGTTAGATTTTACCTCCCTTTCAGTTTCTGAACTTATTTTTAATCCTCACATGCTGAGACTCTTCCTTTACGTGTGCATTATTATTAATTAATCACTTCTTGAATTAGACACGGTGAACATTAGCACAAATGCTTAGTTCAAATGCAAAATATATGAAGCACAAGGGTTATACTGTTGTCCACTGAATGTACTGCAAAATAGGATGCCATGTTGCACCAATGATTCCTGCATATTGCGTACTTTATATTGTATGATTTGCCCACAAAATAAGCGGTCAATTCACTTTACAGTATATTCTTGAAGTGCTTTGAGACATCTCAACGATGTGATACAGCACTATATTAAATGTAAGGGTTATTATTTTTACGGTTGGATGGAAGAGGTATTAAATAAGAAGGTGTTTTTCCCCCACTTTTAAGGAGGGAAAAACGGAAAATGGGTCACTTTGGGGGGAGGGTAGGTCTGTGGAACAGAAACTGTACACGATACAAGGATCTCTGCAGAGGGAATGGTGATGGATGTTTGAAAACAAACATGCAAAAATAGTCTCTTTGGAATTTATATTTCTAGCATTTCCTGATTGCAGAGCAGTATATATACTTTTTTGTTCACAAATGCTGCGTGCTTGGTAATACCGAATAATGCGCTTAAAAATATATGCTCCAATAATTTTAAATTACTGTTTGCTCCAGTTGTTGGGCAGAATTATGGTTTGGTATTGTCTTAACAGTGGGTGATTTGCTGGTGGTTCAAGTTGAACATACGATTGTTGTCTTTGACTTTAATAATGAGATGGACTATGTCTCGTTTTGCATTTCAGGTCGAATATAAATGGTCCTGGCACCCCGAGGCCACTGAGTCGTTCAAAAGTTTCTTTATCAAGTGTTCTTACAACAAACGGTTTGCTGGACAGCCCTGAAAGTCGAGAAATAAGTGTGCAAAAGACGGAAGAAAAATTGCACGAGTATGTTTTATAATTCTTTATATTTAAAAAAAAACTAAATTAAGTAACAACAAAGCTAACCTTTAAATACATGAATTGTGAATAGTTCAGATGATCCTATCTGCCCGTTCAAGTGAATGTTAAAGATACGGCGGCACTATTTGAAAAGAGAAGGGGGTTTCTCCCTCCTGGGTCCTGGCCAACAATCCCCCAAATAAAATTGTCACTCGCTCCATGGCTGTTTGTTGGCCATGGCTGTATAAATTTTGGCACAAAATAAACAGTCAGTAATATCCTGCGAAGCACTTTGGACGTCTCAACGACATGATAAGGCGCTCTATGAAATGCAAGGATTATTTATTACTAATAATTCTCACAAAGGTATCTTTGCATTACAATATGATCTGTGCACGCAGTGCTGAAAGGTTACTAATATTGGTGGAGATATTTTGGGTACCAGTGTCCTTTTTGGCGATGTCGGTTTTATTTTTTTTGCATTTTAAAACTGCTTGTTCCAAATGTTTGGTGTCACTTGACGTATTTTGGCGAATTTTGGCCCATTTAAACGGACTCTGGGACTTTGCTTTTGTGCACAGCGAATCGCCAACCCCTCACGGTGAAGACTCTCCAACCAGCTGTTCAAAAAACAAGCATTTAGAGGATGACACGATGGAGGCTGATGCCCCTGAGGTGAAACGACTGAAATTTGACAAGGAGAGCGAGGAGGAAGCTCCGCCCGCCCTCGCTGAGAGTTCCTCGGAAATGCCTGAAGAAGCCGAGAATGCCGCAAAGCAGGAGGAAACCAAAGAGCCGAGTGAATGGGCTGAGCAGCCTAGCGCAGATAAGACAGGTACCGTTGCCCATTTATTTGACAGTAAATTGCCAAAGTGACCTCTTAATAAGTAAACATTTGTACACAAGAGAGAGATTGGTTTTCGACAGCAATAGATAATTTGCGACTTGATTTGACGTTTTGGAAAAGGAAAGTTTCTTGCCCTTTTTTGATATCCATTCCATTTCCCCCCCACCCCAAGCAAATTCTTGACAATGCATGAGAGGGAATGTAGGGTGGGGGGAATGTGCTAGAGTTGGGGGTTAAGATGGGTCGAAGATCGTGCAGTGTGGGTCTTAAAAAAAAAAAGCAATTGTTCAGCGCCCTGGGTCATGCTTCCAACGTGATGGGCGTTATACAAGTGTAAGTGGTTGTTGTTGTAAACACTGACATGGACTAGATGGGCCGAATGGCCTGTTTTGGTGTTGTACATTCTACGTAATGAGTGTTGGAATATCAAAGCTGTATTATAACCTATCGATAGCTGTGTATTAGTTTTGAAATGTATGTGATAATATATAAGTTCGGGCAGTAAATAGCAGTTTTGTAGTGGCACTTGTAGTGGTAGTATCGGCCTAAATGTAGACTTTAAAGTATTTGGATTTCTTTGATAGTAAGATAATAATTCCTTAATAAAAAAAATTGGTCACTTCAATCCAGGACTATTTGTGGGACGCTACTATGCGCAATTGGCTGCAGCGTTTTGCTCACAAAATATACAGTCAATTCACTTTACAGTATATTCTGAGAAGCGCTTTGAGACGTCTCGAAGATGCGATAAGACGCTGTATCAAATGCAAGGATTATTATCATTGGCCGCACTTGTAAAGAGAAAAGAGTTTTCTGACGTGTGTGTGTGTGTGCGTGTGTCCTTTCAGAGGCCCCTAGCTCGCCGGTGAAGACCACCACACTGGAGTCGGAAGAAAAAGGTGTCGAGGTTTCATTCGAAAACGTAGAAACTTCGGAGGAAAACAACCAAATGGACCAATCTGAGCCAACCAAGACATTAACTTCTGAGGAGAGTGAAATCAGTGAAAGCACTGACGCGGTTAGTAACAGTGCGGGCTGCAGTGCTGCAGAGGAACCAGGGACATCTGCTAAAACTCCCGACGACTTACCTTCCGAGAGTCCAATGGAGAATAGCACAGATGTCACAGAAGAACCGATGGAACAGGACTAAATAAAAGATATCTGGGCAGTATTTTCCATAAAGCTCTGATTTTACACTGTATAAAATTTTATGTAACAAAGCAGACCTTTGTTTTCCAGAAGGAGTTTTCGGGAAAAAAAAACTTCTCTGAGAAATGTCTGGAAGAGTTGTTAGATAAGAACTGTGAAAGCAGCTCCTTCAGGGCTCATCTACCTACCGCTGACTTTTTTTTTGTTCAGTCAAATCAGTGGTTTATGTATAGATTTTTATTTAGAGAGAGAGTTTTTTAAACTGGAAAGTAAAATTATAAATGTCAACTTGTTTGCAGTTCATCAGAGTAGGACATTTACCATAGGTTGTTTGTTCTTGTTGTTTTCAAATATCTTTGGTGAAAAAATAATTAATTTCCTACTTGGTCACTGTTTCAACATTCTACATGTAATTCAAACACTGCTGGAACGAACACCAAGTTTAAAAACACATTCCAGGAAAAACTCAAAACTTCTACACCACTTTCATATACTTCTGAGGTGCCTGTGTGAGTAAACGTTAATCAAAAGGGAGCCTGTGGTTTGTTGTCGAATCGAAACTCAGCAATGTTTGGGACTCATTTCAAGATTTACTTTGGTCGTAGAACGGATGCTTTTTTTTAGATTGAGTGTTGAAGCAAACAGCAAAAAGTGGGAGTTACTCGCTCAGTTTATATCCAGTGGTTATAACATTGTGAAGATTTGAGCGTGTTTCCTTCCAGATTACATTTTTTTTGTAGCATTGCAGACAGCGTGGGTACAGTACACCACTGACTGCATTAGAGAACCATTGCGATTTAGCCATTTAATTCGTTCACACAACCAAATCTTAGTACTGGCAATGCAATTTTTGAGGGTACATTGAACCACCATAATTTGTACAAAATTTTGAAATGATTAAGATAGATGTATGTTGACAGCCAGTGGTCGTACATTTTTGGAGACAAGTACGCAAAGCACAAATTTTGCTCTGCAATCCTGACGTTTTCTGATATCCATCCAGCTTGTATATTCAGAGTCCTTTAAACTTAACTTTCAGTCACAATTACTGGCTGCCAAGTTTGTACTCGTTTCTGGCAACTGTACTTTTTGATATTTAGAATTTTTAAATTTCTGTAAGTAGATTTTGTAGATTGTAATTGTTCACTGCCTTTGTGAAACGTTATATAATTGTATAATTTCTGTGTGTAAACTGAATGCTTTGGCTTTCAATACAGTATTCATATAAAGCAATAAATGTTATATCTGGACACGATGAGTCTGGAGGTACGCTCCAGTTCCAGTTGGCAAAAATTTGCACAGGTTTGCCAGAGGCCATATGACTGCACGTAACTGACAATCGGCAAGATTGACGGTTTTGTTTTTTCCTGTGAATGTCGTGTTTCGCACTTGTGAATACTCTAATATACTTTTGTGGGATCTTAAAATTCACTTTCTTATGAGAGAACTAACCAACTTCATTCTAACTGGTATGTAAAGTTTTTAAAAAGGATGCATTAGTGCTGTAACAATGTTTTTTTTCTTCAGTGCTATGCTTGGGAAGAATATGCATCTAAATTGCTAATTAAACAACAATTTTCATAAGTTTTTACCAATCTGACCAGCAAGAATGTTTTTGAATCGCGATGCTTTTTAAAGTTGTGATGTTCACTCATAGTTTTACCAGCGGAAGTGGTGGGCATTTCCATAATTCCTCTACTAAGTTTAACTCTTAAATGTACGGTTTGGTTAAGTGTTGGTACGTTTGGGGAGAGAATGGCGGATGCAATATTGCCTTGGGTAATTCTTTGTAGCTCTCTTGTTTGCTTGCTTTAATCATGCTTACAATAAGGTGAAATCTGATTCAGTTAAGTAGCAGACCTGAGTCTCATCTTTGAGGACTTCAGATAAAGAAAATGAAGACATAAGATACATCAAAAATGTTTGGGTGAAATGTTTAAAAAGTTGTGATTTCTCCCACTTAACTTCATATTTTGAAACTGGCACGTTTGTCATTCTACATATGGTATGTAGAAACTTCAACTTTCTACAGTGATATCATTTTTGTCAAATAGGTTTTCCATCAGGTTTAAATGTTTATGTTTAAATTCACAGATTTGCAATAGTTTGTTTTGATGACGCTAAAATGTTTGCTGCTTTATGATGAGCTCTGTAACTTAAATTGTTCATGTTCTCAGACTTGTTAATGTAATCATTACGAGCAAATCGAAACGGCTTCTGTACTTAAATGTTCAAGCACATCACCTGTTACTTTGCGAGGCTTCAAATGTTAGCGAAGTGAGCGGTTTGAGTTGAATGTCATTCTTGCCCCTGTACCATGGTTAGCAATGTTAACAGATTTGAGTGGGCTTCACAGGGCAAGTGGTCCTGCATGGCTTTAGCTGGTTAAACTCTAGCAATACCCCAATGCAAGTTCTGGAGTCTCCAAGCCTCGAGTCTTGTTCACCTGGCGTTCAATTCTCTGTGATGCGGTAGGCAGGGTAACTTCCACTGACGAGAGAGCACGAGAGCAAACTCCACAAACACTAGACAAATTTGAACCATACAGAATAATAATAATTCTTGCCTTTAATATAGCGTCCTGCCCACGTGAAAGGCGCTATACAAATGTAATCTTGTTGTTGTAGCGTCTTATCACATCCTTGAGACGTCTCAAAGCGCTTCACAAAATATACAGTAGGGTGAATTGACTATATTTTGTGGGCAAAATGCAGCAGTCAATTGTGCACAGCAGCGTCCCACAAACAGTCGTGGATTGAGTGCCCAAATTTTTTTAAAAATTGTAGGGATTATAGAATTAAGGATTAAATTAAATAAAAATTGAGAAGAAATGGGTAAGTCTGGTTCATATTTTGCAGCCCTTTACAAGTAGAGTTGTGCTAGATGCCTGGAGGGTAGAAATTTGACCTTTTTATAGAAAAATTATAGATAACTTAGCCTAACAAATGTATTGTGCAGAATGCTCGAGAATATTAGTTGGGATGTTATCAATACTCGTCTAAAGAGTGCAAAGGGTTGCCAAAGATTTAGAAGCAATATGTTATGCCTCCTAATTCTAGTTGACCTCTTTGAGGAAGTAACTATTGGATGATGATTATCCAATTTAAAATTCCCACAAAACTTTTAAAGAAAAATGGAATTAATGGCAATTGTGATAATTAAGATCAAATTTAGCTCAGCAATAAGTGTAACTCTCAATAATTTGGGGTAGGAGACTTAAGTGCAGGAATGTTTCCATGTCAGATGCCTACATTCCCCCAAACAAACAAATTGAGAGATTAATTAAAGTTACAGACAATTTTCAGTGCTGTTTTTCTGTAATGTTGGCAACCACTTCCCAAGAAATGTTAATTCTTGCTTCAGAGTTCTCTGTAAACTGAGGATGAAACAATGTGCGTGGGTTGATCTCAATCGATTCAGTAGTTCAATTTGAATGGACGCTCGCTACCTCGGCTTGTGCATGAAGACACACTTCAGAGTTCCTGTGGAACTATACCCTGAGATGAGTGCTTTCAAGAGGAGGTGGAGGGAAGGAAACATCAAAGTGATGTGCTTACATATACCTCGTCCAACTCCCTGTTGAAGGATTATTTTGATTTTGGGTGAGCTTCACCCCCCCATTGCGTGTTTGGGTTGGGAAGGGGAGAGTGGGGGAGAGACCAGATTAAGTAAATGTTTAATTTCTAATGTTCAAAAAAGCTATATCAGTGGATCACATAAGAAGTTCACCGAGGCAGTTGGTGATGTACCTGTCTTGCTAGTCGTATGTTGACATTTGTTACGGACTGGTTTTGTGAATTGAAAATTGGCTTTTAACGAAATTGTGAAATAAGAAACGGAAATGAATTTTATCTTTCCACATCTTAGAAGGTAGGTTTTAGGCTGATTTATTGCTCGACATTGAGGATCTCAGGAGTTCCTGTTGCTTGCCGCAGCAAATTTTACAATTATAAGAAAAATAAGAAAAGGATTCTGACATTTGATCTATTGCTTGTATTGCATTGACAATTTCGCCACTTCAAAGCCCTTCACACTTGACTGCTGTAAAGTGTAGTGACTATTTTGTGGGGCAAACGCGGCAGCCAATCTGGGCATAGCAATGACCCACAAACCGCGTGAATGACCAAACGTCAATATCCTCGATATTAAATTTAAGGAATAATTTTAAAAAGTTTTGAAATTGCGGAGTGCGACTTAAAATTGGTTTTCTTTTGAGAATTATCAACGACGGCCGACTTCCACCTCTAAGGAGCGGCTGAAGATCTAACGTGAGACTGTTGTTCCCGGACACTACCCTGCGTGAAGGGCGCTATATAAAGGCAAGTTGTTGTTGCTGGAACAGGTCAGTGATATTTTTCATTTGCCCTCTACTGACTTTACACGCAGTCTTGTGCTGTGGCATTTTCAGTAATGATCGTTTTCTAGAAGAAACCCGCGTACCATTTTGTTCGCCCACAAATACACAGTCACGCCACTTCACAGTAAATCCTGCGAAGCGCTTTGGGATTGCCTCCCGACGCGAAAGGTGCTATGCCGAATGCAAGGATTCTGCTTATTATTCAGTAAGAGCAGCAGTGTTTTCTTGCTCTTTGGCATAATACTGTGCATTAATTGAGCGGAACACTGACAGGCAATTGGTACTGGCACATCAATCTTGGATGTTACAGATGTTAATCAGAATCCCTTGATTGAATTACGATACAACCTTTTGTATCTCTCCCAGACATCCATTATTCTGACACGCAAGTGAGCGCTTAGCTGTGCTGAACGAATTCCTGGTTGCAATCCCCAATGCTTTGAATAATTCTTAATAGTTTCACTCAGGAGTGAATAGCTTTTGAGATCCATTTATAGCACCTGCTTAAAAAAACACGTCCTGCACGCGATATAAAATTCAGCAGTGATCCGAAGACTCATCAAGGTCACGAGAGCACGTCAAGGCAATAGCTTGCAGTGTGGTTACATTTCTTTGCTTGATATTTCATGTTATATAGTTGCCACTGTATTTGGTGTAAAATAACTTATTTTCTGTTTTAAGTATGATTCATACTGGATTCACCTAGTACCCAGCATTTGTGGAGTCCTGTAGCTCAGTGGTTAGAGCACTCGCTTTGCAAGTGAGAGACCTGAATTCAATTCCAGGCAGAGGACGAAACCTTGGGCAAGTTTCCTTACTCCACACAGAGCCTAATAATAATCCCTCCAAAACCAAAAACAATAATAAATTGGTCATTTTCAATCTACGACTGTTTGTGGGACATTGCTGTGCGCAATTGGCTGCCGCGTTTGCCCACAAATATACAGTCAATTCACTTTACAGTATATTCTGTGAAGCGCTTTGGGACGTCCTCCCGATGTGAAAAGTGCTATATCAAATGCAAGGATTATTATTATTATTGCGGTTAAAACCGAAAACATCCCTTTTTTTCTTCATCATTTATATGTTGTATGTTTCTGGAGGATTTCAGTTTAATTCTAGATGCCAGCTTGGCTCAGTTGGTATCGCTCATGCTTTGCGCAAATCGTTTTGCACTGCTGTGTTTGCCTGCAAAATATATTCATAATACAGTACAGTATTTGGCAGTAAATACTGTAAAGGCTCGTGAGCCAATCCCAGGTGGCATATAAAAGAGCAAGTTCTTTCCCTTTGGTTATTAAATACTTTTTTAAAAAATAGCAAATAAAATCCACGCTCCATTTCCGTTGTTCCACGGAACAAATTTGGACGGTTTGTGCAAGAAACTAGTTACTAGCAATTGGAGCCATTTCAGCTGTAAGATATGACGTTCTGCTTTATTGTTTTTCTCATTGCTGTTTGCCCACACATCTTAACAAGTAAATCATCGGAGAGGAGCTTGTAAATAATGAACAATCATTTGAATGTTATTGATACAAATGAGAGCAGGGAGTGGTGATTGGCTTTGCCCTTATTGCACTGTATTTCCGATCAGGGAGATTAGCATTATTTCTTTGCTAATTTATTTTAGTATTTGCTCAGGGTCTCCAAGGAAATAAATCAAAGTTACAGGTATTATCTGTAATGCTCCGTGTCATTGGTAGGCATTTAACTACAGACTCTGAGCATCCATCTCAGAGGAAATAAACTACGGTCATTGGTGATCATCTGCTTTGTGGTGTATGGAAAGCGGTAATTTAATATGTATAAATAAATGCCAAAAGTTATTAAAGATCTACACTTTACATACCAATGAGACTCAGATCCACGGCGACAATGAAAGCTAAGCAGGGCAACTAAAGACTAGATTTTTTTTTAACTGCAGTCGAGTTGTGCAAATAAATCTATAAAAATGATTTAAGAACCTTTGTTTGCAGTTGCTATTGGATAATCACGCAATAATAAAACTCGTTTCAAGATGTTTAACAACAATAAAGGTGAAATAATACGTTTTTTCTTATTGGCTAATTTTGCTGAAATAGTCGTTGAAAAAGCCTTAGGAAAATTACATTGAAAGGTTACATTCTCCTGTAATTTTTATTGCATGATTTTAACGTGAAGATTTTTATATTCAATCTGTCTTTGAACGTTTGTGGCAGACTTGTGTCACACCTTGTCCCCAACATTGCACTTGGATGTGCAGACAGAACAGGGAGTTTATGAGTGTTTGCGCCCACCTAAGTCCTGCACCAATTCATACATAATCCAACTATGGTTGTGTTTGACCTCCAACCCTCACCCCTTCCCCCAACTGGGATTCCAGTCCAGGGTCTCAGGTGCTGCAGCAGAAATCTGCCTGATAATGCCATTCACTATTGCATTGCTCAAAGGTTTTGAGCTGAAAAATATATATCTACAAATAAACATCAATTGCCTGTGAAACACTTCAAGATGTTTTCGACCGAGTGTGCCCCCAAAATAATAGCTGATTTTTCCAAATGTTTGTGTGGGATCTTTGACATCTACGATTAAGCATGGTGTCAGAGACCCAGCTGACCAAAAAAAATCACAATGCAATGCTTCCCCTACTACTATACCTATGAATTCAAGTCCTGATGTGAGATGTGAACCCACAGCATCCTGCCCCGAGGGCAAGAGTGCTACCACCTGAGCCAAGCTGACAACATTAAAAAACATAAGAACCTAAAAGCATAAGAATTTGCTCGGCGAAATAAGACCAAGGTCCATCCAATCCACCAACCTGGCAGTCACTTGACATGTCAACACCCCGTATATTACTGATTTACTG